ACTGAGATACAAGGAAGAGAGGAAGGCTGGCCAGTACCTTCTAATACACACCATGGAGTAAATACAGAATTTGGCACCAAAATTGTTGTGATCACACTACAGAAGCAAGCTGGAGCCCTCACCCAACAGAGGAGTAACAACCTCTGAAAAATTTGTTTCAGAGATTGAGACTGACGATGCCAAACATGGATCAGAAGGCTCTGAAAGGCTCAGTGTTCACATATTGAGATTTCTTTGGGAGGGATAAGAGCCAGCCCCCAAGCAAGTAGCAAAAGTGGTTTGAAGGAACAGGTCAGGTGGTGCGGGGTTGTACAGCGTTTAAGAGGCGGGAACGGGCCTGCGCAGGAGTCTGTGTGGTTTTAATTTCCAACCAGTGCCAAGGGAAGAAGCACCCAGGCTTTCTTATCAGCTTTCCCACGTGTGGAAGGAAGGGGCTTAAAATCTATCCAAGGTCAGATATCCAGTGGAACCGGCCTCCTCATTACAGAAGTAAAGCATACATGCCTGACAGCGTTGATCTTGAACACTTGAAGCCCAACTCAGGAAGGGCAGAAAAGAAAAGGTCCTCTGGCCACCCTCTGGTGTGAGTTGCTGCTTATTGAGAGGATTTCATCTATGTCGAAGTCACCTGGTCTCCTACCTGCACACTGTTATCAACAGGATTGACCTACCTTAAAGGTGGATCCGGTTTTAATGAAGTTTCTTTCCAAAATATTATCCAAAGCTGGATCTAGTTCCTCCCCGACGTCTTCAATGAGCAAGGGCCTCCCAAGAGAGAGGCTGTCCTCCAGGTGGTTTCTGAAGTACTTGTGATTGAGAGAAGTGATCTAGAAACAGGAGCTCAGCATTACTCTTGCAAGCCTCACGATGCTATGCACAGAGACAGACGGCTGATGTCACATGATGCCTAAAGCATTCTCTCAGGGGGGACAAAGAGGTTTCTAGAAATCCTTGACTCTGGAAAACCCTTCTTCCCTATACTGGAAGCAGTAAATAAAGGCTGCCTGGCAACACTCCTCTCCTCTCACCAACACCCCTTTGGGGACAGACATGGAATAATGAGGAAGTGCTGTACATGAAGTGGAATACAGCTCTGCCCCCCTGTTTATTAAAGAGAGCTGTAGGCCCAACAGAACAGAGTCTGACACCATTGGAAGAGGGCATTCCTAGGGATAAACACAAGAGCAAATATGAGATTTAGGGAAAGTTTTTGTTATCAGATTTAAGCTGCCATCTGTTAATGTAACGGTTGGCATCTAGGATTATCAAAAAAGAATCCATAAGGCTTTCAAACATTTCTTTGTTTTGGATTGCTAGTAATCCTGGGAAGCAAAACTTATCAGCAATATAAATAGCCTGGAACACAAATTACCTGGAGTTCATGGCCGCTTTCTTTGTTTCTGATCCAGATCTTGCCTTGAGTCTGTGGGTCGATTAGCAGAGGGTAGCGTGATGCCTTTGTGACAATGATTCCATTCTGAATGGACAGGTCATCATTGGGCAGACCCTGGATGTTCCATTCACTAATAGTGGGGGCATCGATCAATAGCTCATTGAGATTTAGATCCTTCCCAAATGGAATTTTCCTGGATTTCATTTCTTTCTTCCAATCATTTAGCAGCAAATCTCGAAATTCTTGGTTAAATGGACCAGAATAAGACAGAAAAGCTGTAGCCAACAATACATCACCTAGAACAGCAAACGAACACCACTAAAACACGTGATGATCATTCTTCTAATTTTTCAGCACATCAAGACTCAAAACAATTGAATTGATGACCATTTGTTAAAACTGAATTCCACAAACCAAATTGAAACCCTGTGCTGCCATGCTGTGTGAATAAGCAGGAGTTTTGTGCATTGTTAAACCATCCAAATAGCCGAACAAAGAAGAGCTGCTAGTAGTCAGGCACTGGATTATTTTAATTTTTGTTGCAAGTTTTGTTGCAAGTTAAGAGACACAACAGGTCAGAAGACAGAACCTTCATTCAAAATGCCCTTGATCAATATTCTTACATACTCACAGGAGAATTCCAAAGTGACCTGATCATTTTGGTGTGGAGAGCATAGATGTCAGACCATTATCCATCTCTCTGAAGTGGCTGGAGATGGACGGACAGACAGACAGACACACACACACACACAAACACACACACACGCGCGCACACACACACACACAATGAAAATTGGAATCATCAAGTCCTATTTGATTAAAGCTGAGGCTTCCTAACTCCCCATCACTATCAACATGATCTCATTAATAAAAGAATCCACAGACCTACGAGTCTTTTGGTTTGGGCTGCAAACTCTTTACTTTGCTCTGTCCATCTTTCCTTTTCACCTGCCAAGCCACTGATGAGCGTGGACGCCGTCTGCATCTTACGTCTGCACCGCTCTGCATCTTCAAGCAAGGTCTGAAAAGGACGTAACCAGAAGAAGAGTTTTATTGAGATAAACATAGCTTCTGGCTCAAAAAGACAACTTTAAGACATACAGTATCTGCCCTCTGGGACTTATGAGCCCTTCATTTCACAGAAAGCGTAAGATCCTGTTTCCATGTGTCTGCGTCAGTCCAGTCCCATCTCTAATGCCTGTCCAAGAAACTTGGGCAAGTTCCTTCAGGGGGTACCTTGAGCCAAGTGGCCAGACCCTCCCAGATGTTAATAACTAAGTGACTACAGAAATTCACATCACTGATGATTTCCCTTTAATGAAAAAATAGAGACAGAATACAAGCACACATGCTAATATCACATGCTAATATCACATAGTACAAAAAAAATTGTAAAGACATACATATCCCTGGTCAAGAATGAGGAAGTCTCTCATGCTAAGTTCTGGTATCATTGCTGCTCTATCTCACACCACACCGTCCATACTTTAGATGAAATTTAGATTAATTACCATCAGATATGGAACCTGAGGCTCCTACACAAATCTCAGCCACACTTGACTTTGTGGCAATAAAATACCTTAAACCCAGACTTCCGCAGGCTCTTGACTTTAGGCCTAAATTTTGTTTGCTTCTTGTTTGGTGTTTTGGGTGTTGGGGTTTGAACCCAGGCCCTCCCTGTGCTAAGCACCAGCTTTGCCACTGAACTACATTCCCAGCCCATGGGCTTAGTTCTCAAAAACAAGTGATTCCATTTCTCTATGCTTAAAAGTTAGCTGCTGATTCTTCCTATAAAAAAATTTATACTTGTGAAATAAAATGAGTGTGAACAAATAATTGGCTATTTGAGCAGTCATTCAGGAGTCATTTATAATAATAAATATACATGTCACAGAAATCTTTACCAGATTAATTTTGGTGGTTTAATACATATATATACATAAAGTCTAATAATAAAGGATTATTTAACTTACAATGGCATATTAGAAGACCACACCCTTGGAGAGAGAAATAGAATATGAAGGAAGGATTACAATAGCCAAGTAGTGCCTGACAGTCCCCCTCACGCCCAAGAATGGCTACCTGCTTCTCAGTCATGGCCTGTTCGTACTCGGCCTGCACCACATCGAGTTCTGCTTGTTTCTCATCCAGCTCAACCTGGGCCTTGTGCAGATCCTGCATTGCCAGGACGTGGCGATTCTCCTGCACCACCAAGTTGGCCTGCAAGGGACACACACAGCGTGAAGGGACAGGCAGGACACCATCTCACAGCCTGTATTCCAGAGTCCAAGAACTCAGCAAAGTCACAGATCTATACCTTTCCTTTGCTCCACTTCTAGAATCTTTTCACATTGCGTTATGTTGGAAACCAAATCTTAATATGAACTTGTTGTGTTTTTAAGTCTAAGCAGGTTGTTACAACAGAAAATTACAGTTCACTAGAAGAGAGATCAGCAATTTTCTTTTTCTGTAAAGTGCCTGATAGTAGATATTCTAGGATTTTTATTCTAAGGAATAAAATCAAAGCTGTAATTTAATTACTCATACATAAAACATTTTAAAATGTAAAAACTCTTCTTTTTTTTCATGAACCATACAAATACAAGTGATAGCAATAGCCAAGTTTTGAAACCAGTCTAGGTGTCTGCCAATAGATGAATGGATACAGAAAATGTGGTATACATACACAAAGGAATTTTAGTCAGCCACATGGAAGAAGAAAATCATATCATCTTCAGGAAAACATGAACTACAGAGCACCACGTTAAGTGAAATAAGCTATAGAGTCAGACAGGTATGGGACATTTTCTCTCACGTGTGGAAACTAGTGAGGGAGAAAAATAGGGGAACAATGTCATGAAAGTAGAAGGAGGGCCACTAGATACAAGGAGTAGGTAAGGGGAAGGAGGAGGGAAGAGTAAGGGAGGCATTTAGAAGCAAAATTGATCCGATTATGTTATATGCATGTACCAATATGCCACAATGAAGTTCACCATTATGCATAATCAATACACACCAATAAAAATAAATAAATAAAATGAAAGCAAATACAGGTGGTGGGCTACATCTGGCCCATGGGCCATAGTTTTCTTATCCCAGATCAGAAACTTACACAAACATTCAAAGGCAAGTTATAAAATTCTGTAATAGTGAACATGGTAGAAAAAAAAAACTGATTATGGATAGTTCCTGAATGAGAATGGTTCAACTTATGATTTTTCAACTTCATGTTGCTGCAAGAGCGATACATGTTCACCCAATAGAAACCATACTTGGACTTTGGAATCGGATCTTTTTCCCAGCTGAGGAAAACAGTATGATCCTCTCTCAAGGTGCTGGGCTCATGATACCTGAGCTGTGACCAAGTAACAATATGTCCTAAGGAAACTTTTTAAATAAATCAAAGACAAAATCAAAAGTAATATTAGCAAAAGCTGAGATGTAGAAAATATCCCATGCTGATTGGAATTTTGATTCTTCAAAAAAATAATTTTAATTCAATTTTCTGTTAAATCTACCAAATACTAAAATTTATTTTAATGGGTAGATCCACTACTGGAAGCCATAATCCTTCCAAAGTTTGAGATGTGTAGATTATTTCTTTAAATATATCTGAGGTAAATTATTTTCATCCTTCAAAACTTTGGGCTTCCAAGTTTTGGCAGAACATATCCTCAGGGGAATGTCAGAATTCCATAATTGGCCAGAACAAGTGAACAGGCCAAGGCAAAGGCTTAAAACATATGGGTTAGAAAGAATTGACTTCTATGTCCTGCAACTGCTGCTGTGCACCAAACATGGAAGAAAAGCAAGGCCACCAGGTCAAACAACGTACCACAGCAACCCGCCAATGTCACACTGTCACAGGCCCAAGACTTAGACTATTCGATAGTATTGTATTCAGAAAAAAATCAATAAAGTTTATTTTAAGTAAAATGCTCAAAAGTTGTTAAGCAAAACCCTTCAAACCCAACTAAAAGCTCTAAAACTCTGGGTTGGTTACTTCAACTGTGAGCCGCAGTTTCTCCTTTAAAGTAATGAAAAACTACCTCCTAAGATTTTTTGTAACAACTCAATAATCTGACATTACAAAACCCAAGTCTAGTACCTGGCACACAACAAGTGCCTGATAAATGGCAGATACTGTTATTTTTGTCCATATCCAATATTTAAAGCTCTATTGTTCTGAGACCTTCTCTTGGTGTGGCTTGATATTTGCTGGTGTCCTGGGGTTTTCAAGGGGAAATTTCATTATAATTGAGAGTGAATAGAATCTAAATTGTTACAGTTAGGGCTGGGGATGTGGCTCTGTGGTAGAGTGTCTACCTGGCATGCATGAAGCCTTGGGTTGAGTCTCTAGAAGCACCACAAAAAAAGTAAACATAAATAAATCGTTACAATTCATATTAGTTTAAATGTATTCACTAATCAAAGTCATGTGGCGTGTTTATAGGGATTGCAAGATGAAAGAGAGAATCTCCTCACGGACTCTGTTACTAATGAGTTGGAGGCATTCAATCCAGAGCTTGGGGCATGCTGCCCTTGATCTCTGCTCACTCATGAAGCAGGGTCTTACAAATGAAGCCCCTCCAGGAATAAGTGAGGCTTGGGGCTGGGTCTGTCTTCCTTCGTCTGTTCAGCAGAAATGCCTGCTGGTGACTTGCATCCCTTTCATCTACCTCTGCCGAGGGAAGTGAGCATGCAGAATCCACGTAACTGTGTGCATCTTTCTACCTGACACGGGAGGGACCTGACAGGCTGCAAGCTCCAATATGCTGCATGCACATAAGGTTACAGGAGGGCACTCAGGATGGACTTCTCAGAAGGAGAAACAGTCCAGGAGCATGCAAAAGGTCCTCCCTCCTGATAGTATCCCCCTCACTAACTGGACAGACCATTCTGGAACTGGAAAGAAGCTGAAATGTGGAAAACATTAAACACTGGGCAAGAGATTTCATTGTTCTTATGTAAGTCTATTCAGAGTATCCATGTTCAACATTTTTAGCTCATTATCCTTAAAATAAGCAACAGTGAAATGAATCTGAATAACTTTCCATGTACACATATGAATATATCACAGTGAATATCACCATCATGTACATCCACCACAAATTATTATTTTTTAATTATGAACAAATGACAGAAAATCAATAGAGGAAAGGAAGCAGGGTGGAAAGATGGAAATGGAAGGAGAGGTACTGGGGTCTGAATTAGAATAAGACGTATTCTGTGCTTGTATAATTATGTCAAAATGGATTCCATTGTAATGTGGAATAAAAATTAAATATAATAAAACAAAAACTACCCATTGTAAATCCAACTGTAATTCCCTTTAAGATACTATGTATGTTTATGCATGGAATAAAAACGTGTAAAGGATGAGCTGTACTTCAATGTGACGTGGTGTGTATAATTCAGTTCTTACAATATAAGAATGTGCATTTCTGAGCTATGCTGGAGTCCTCAACAGCCCCTGTATTCACGAGGTCAGACAGTATGACACCAATTATTTGCTCTAAATTTCTCCAAATCAAATGAAACGTTGTTCTTTTTGGTTGTCTAAGATGCCAAGGATCCCAACTACTTACTAAATGGCCCTGGTATGGGTAACATTAGAAAGTACAATGGAATTTGCAATCCTATACCAACTTACTGCTACTCTTGATTATTTTTACCTTGATCATTAAGTTTCTTGGGTAGTTTACAAATATAACTGGATTTTAGTTGATGTTTGGGAAATGTCAAACTTACACAAAACAAAATAATCAACCAGGATACAAGGTATGACTTTTGAGACATCAATATTTTGTTTTCCAAAAATGTACTTGCTTTTGCATTTGTTGATGTCTCAATGTCTTTTAGTGGTGGAGAAGTATCTAGAAATGAAGCTTAGCTCAACTACTCAAGGGGAAACACATACATAGCCTCAAAGACACATTAAATAACGAAGAGTCCCTAAAAGACAATGGAGGTGGGTACTATGTGTGCTTTAAACCAAGACCAGCTTTAAGAATTTTCTGCTTTCAGTGTCTGCCTCTTGATCCTGTCCATTCATAGGATTCCCTGGCATGAGATTTTGAACACCATTGGGGAATTCTGTGCTGTGATTTTCTGGGGATTCCATGGAGCTGACACTGTGGTTGGGGGATAATATCCAGCAACCCACAATGGATCCAGTGTCTTTAGAAAGTCAGCCCATCTACTGTAATTCATTTCTCTCTCTTGTTTTTCCCCCTTTTCCCTCACTTCCTTTTGTATGTAATTTTGTATAACCCTGAGGGTCTCCTTCCTTTACCATGCAATTTCCCTTCTCTCTCTCTTTCCCTCCCCCTTCTCCACCCTGTTTAATGGTCATCTTCTTCTCATGCTCTTCCTCCCTATTCTGTTCTTAGTTGCTCTCCTTATATCAAAGATGACATTTGGCATTTGTTTTTTAGGGCTTGGCTAGCTTCACTTAGCATAATCTGCTCTAGTGCCATCCATTTCCCTGCAAATTCCATGATTTTGTCATTTTTCAGTACAGAGTAATACTCCATTGTGTATAAATGCCACATTTTTTTTTTCCATTCATCTATTGAAGGGCATCTAGGTTGGTTCCACAGTCTAGCTATTGTTAATTGTGCCGCTATGAACATGGATGGATGTAGCAGTATCCCTATAGTACGCTCTTTTAAGGTCTTCAGCGAATAGTCCGAGAAGGGCAATAGCTGAGTCAAATGGTGGTTCCATTCCCAGCTTTCCCAGGAATCTCCATACTGCTTTCCAAATTGGCCTTACCAATTTGCAGTCCCACCAGCAATGTACAAGTGTACCCTTTTCCCCACATCCTTGCCAGCACTTGTTGTTGTTTGACTTCATAATGGCTGCCAATCTTACTGGAGTGAGATGGTATCTTAGGGTGGTTTTGATTTGCATTTCTCTGACTGCTAGAGATGGTGAGGATTTTTTCATGTACTTGTTGATTGACTTTATGTCCTCCTCTGAGAAGTGTCTTTTCAGGTCCTTGGCCCATTTGTTGATTGGGTTGTTTGTTATCTTATTGTTTAATTTTTTGAGTTCTTTGTATACTCTGGATATTAGGGCTCTATCTGAAGTGTGAGGAGTAAAGATTTGTTCCCAGGATGTAGGCTCCCTATTTACCTCTCTTATTGTTTCTTCTGTTGTAGATGGGATAGAGAGAGAAGATGGGAGGAGAGGGGATGGGAGGGGAGAGGGGATAGTAGAGGATAGGAAGGGCAGCAGAATACAACAGACACTAGTATGGCAGTATGTAAAAAAGTGGATGTGGAACCGATGTGAATCTGCAATATGTATACGGGTTAAAAATGGGAGTTCATAATCTGCTTGAATCAAATGTATGAAATATGATATGTCAAGAGCTTTGTAATGTTTTGAACAACTAATAATAAAAAAAGGAAAAAAAAAAGAAAGGTTTAGTCTCCCCCCCAAAAAAAAAACTCTTAACACCAAACAAACAAATGACCCAATCAATAAATGGGCCAAGGAACTGAACAGACACCTCTCAGAAGATGATATAATCAACAAACATATGAAAAAATGTCAACATCTCTAGCAATCAGAGAAATTATTACTCTAAGATTTCATCTCACTCCAGTCAGAATGGCAGCTATCAGGAATACAAACAATAGAAGTGCCGGTAAGGATGTGGGGGAAAAGGCACACTCATACACTGCTGGTGGGACTGCAAATTGGTGCAGCCAGTATGGAAAGCAGTATGGAGATTTCTTGGAAATTGGGAATGGAACCACCATTTGACCCAGCTATCCCTCTCCTCAGCCTATACCCAAAGGACTTAAAAACAGCACACTACAGGGACACAGCCACATCAATATTTATAGCAGGATAATTCAAAATAGCCAAACTGTGGAACCAACCTAGACACTCTTCAATAGATAAATGGATAAAAAAAATGTGGCATATGTACACAATGGAATATTAGCAATAAAAGAGAATAAAATCATGGCATTTGAAGGTAAATGGATGGAGTTGGAGAATATAATGCTAAGAGAAGTCAGCCAATCCCCAAAAACCAAAGGCCAAGTGCTTTTTTTGATATGAGGATGCTGACTCATAATGGCTCTGGGTGGGGGAGCATGGGAGGAATGGAGGAACTTTAGATAGGGCAAAGGGGGGGAGGGGAAGGGAGGTGGCAAGTGGGCAGGAATGATGGTGGAATGAGTTAGACATCATCACCCTAAGTGCATGTATGAAGACACGAATGGTGTGAAAATGCATTGTGTACAATCAGTGACTTGAAAAATCGTGCTCTATGTGTGTGATATGAAATGAATTGCATTCTGGCATCTTGTATAACAAATTAGAATAAATAAATACGTTTTTTTTAAAAAAAAAGAAAGAAAGAAAGAAAGAAAGTCAGCCTGTGCTTAAAAGGCTCACACAATTCTGACTGAAGTGGGATTACAGAGAAGAAGAAAAGAAATACCCTATCCTGTCTGCCTCACACCTGATCTCCCTGTGGATTACCGAGACCAAAGCCTCTTGTGCTACTGTGACCTGGAGACTCCTCCAGGCATGGCTCTCACAGTCCTACCAGGAAGCTTACCTTCAGAGGCAGAACTTCTTTGTTTATAGAAAAGAAGGAAGCCATGGCTTTGGTCCAGGAACAAAGACCTGCTACATTCCCACACACGCGTTTAGCAGTTTCAATGTTGTAGTCCGCCATGTCAAAGTAAGGGCTCAGAAATTCTATCACTTCTTCGTTGATTGTGTCTTTGGGGAATTGCTGTAGAGGAAAAGAGCAAAATTAGGTAAAAACACTTTTTTCCATGAAATCAAATTCACATTGTGTTCTCAGTGCAAATGAAACTATTGAACAAAAACGGATGGTATTTTGTCAGTATCTCAGGACATCAGGCCAAAGTCCTAAAGCAAATCACAGCAAGGATCGATTGAAAAGAAATCTGTGAGACTAACTTTGTCTGCTATAGACAAGAAATGCCAATCCTAAGTAAATATACTGGGATTCACGGAAAGTATAAATTATTTGGTGGTGAATACTCACAGGGTTGTTAGAAATTTCAAGGCAATGAAAAATTCTTGTCATTAATCCTAAATAGGTGAATTACAAACCCATAATATTAACAGAAAAAACCAAACACACACAGGCATATTAAGCTTAAGTACCTATAGGTTTAGCATTTATCAGCTCAAAATGTTTAATACATTCAGAGAGAAGTTCTATTAACCTCACCTCTGTGAAAACAATTACTTGGACATTAAACCTTAAGGATAATAAATTAATTTTTAATCATAGACCTATCAAGAACATGAGAAAAATTAGTATCCTTTAAAATATAATTTTAAAATAGCAACGGAAATGGGTTAAATATGCTTCTCTGCCTCAGAAAGAAAAGACTGACCAAACCAAACATGTCAAGTTTTAATTTTCTTCATTTTTTTCAAATATTTAATTATTTTCAAAACACTATATAACACATAATCTGAAAACTAAACTAGTGTCAATATAATATCAATCCTATTGTTCATAATTAAGGAATTAAGTTTTTGTTGGACAAAAGTTTTTAAATGAGGCCTCCCAGCCTCTCTGGATACTGGCCCTCTTTTAAGGCAGTGTGCATTTGATTCAATAAATACCCTGAAATATGTTGTAAAAATGTAAAAAAAAAAAAAAAAGAAAAAAAGAAAAGCCATCAGCTCTCTCTGTGATGAAATTTCTTCAGAATAAACAGCCCCATAAGCCTAGCACTCCTCCTCTTTGATAAAAAAAAATAATAAAAAATAAAATATAATTTTAAAATAGCAACAGAAATGGGTTAAATATGCTTCTCTGCATTAGAAAGAAAAGACTGACCAAACAATGAAAGCAGACCTTTTTAAATGGGGGTAGGGAGGTTTCTTCAACTAAAAGGGAATGCTTAAAATTTTTCTGAGTAGGAACAAATTTAGCACCTAAACAACTGAGTAAAATAGCCTCACCCAGACAACACATGTAACAGAACACAGTCTCATTCAGAATCATTTGAGACAAATTTCGTTTGTAAGACTTTACAAATAGTGAAACCAGAAGAAAAAAAAAAACAGAAGAATATCTAGAAGCAATAGAAGCGTGGGAGTGACAAGACAACCAATAGAAAGAAGGCTTCCAGGAACAGAGGATCTGCCACAAGGTAAGTAAGGCAGGAACCTGGACTCACTTGCCAGTATTCTGATTAAAATCCAATTCCATTGTCACATAGTCTCATAGTTACCTGAGAAAAGTCTACGGCCTACAAGTTTCATAAGTTACTTATTATTACAGCAGCTAAAGGTGCCTCATAAGATATTCTAGCCACAGTCACCTGAACAATATTGAAATGAAAACCAAATGAAAGTGTGTGCTAAAGTTACATCTTAGGAAACAGGCTTGTGTTGGATATTCCCAATTAGTTAGATTGAAACATAAAAGATAAAACTTCTGAAGAAAATATAGGAGAATTTTTTTCTTTCTTATAAGACACCCAAGATCTAAACAGAACACAGAAAATACTATTAACAAAAACAGTGGTATTTTGGAGTAAATTAAAATTAAGTATGTATGCTTATCAGAAGACACCACTAATAGAATGAACAACTAAGTCAGGAAGTGGCAAGAAATATTTGAAAATATGTAAGTGTCAAATTAGTCATGTTTTATATATAAAGACATTTTACACATAGATTAAATTTTTTTGTACAAGGGAGTAAACCCAGGGGTGTTTAACCACTGAGACATATCCCAAGCCCTTTTATTTTTTGTTTAGAGAGAGGGTCTCACTAAGTTTCTTACAGCCTCACTAATTTGCTGAGGCTGGCTTTGAACTTACGATCCTCCTGCCTCAGCCTCTCAAGCCACTGTGATTACAGGCATGTGCCACCATGCACAGCATGATTTAAAAATGTTTAATGGATAAGAAACTTGATCAGGTATTTAGCTAAAAAAAAAGGCTTATAAACCTATGAAAATATCTTCAGCACCACTAGTCATCAGGGAAATTCAAATCATCCCCACAATAATAAGATGCTACTACAAACTCATCAGCACAGCTAAAGGTGAAAAATGTGGAGAAAATCCTACACCACCAGTGGGTATGTAATTTGACATAACAATTTTTGAAAACTCTTCGGTACTATGTACCAAAACTGATTAAATGAGTACAACCTAAGACACAGAAATTCCATTCCTGCATAGACAGCTCCCAAATGACCTGTAGATCAATATTAGCAACAGCTTTATTTGTAAGAGCCCCAAATTAATAAAAACCCAAAAATCTATGAACAGTCCAATGGACAAATTGAAGCTCTTACAGTGTTTCACACTGGTGCTGATTCAGACTGGCTTGTGAGAAATGATCATCAAAATATGGGAAATTTGTGCAAACTGATTATTAAACATGGTCATATTAAAATTAAAGCATATAAACTTATAATTGAGTAGGTTTCATTCAAAATAAAGATAAGCAAAGACTCCTCATTTCTTATTATTTTATGACAGGTCCCTGTCATCTGTGTGTTTTGGGGTCATTTGCACCTGTGGCAGCCATCTGGTGGCACACTGCACACTGACACACTGCCGTGACTTTCCCCAATTCTACACTCAGCAGCAGCCTGTTGGGAGCTTGCAATTGGCCACCCTGGGAGTAGTGACACTGTGCCAAAGGCCACAAATCAGAGAGTTTATTTTTTTTTCCCTTCCCTTCAAGGAACCACCCGTCAGCACACACACCATTGCACAATCTATAAATGAAAAAAAATGAAATAGTGCCCTTTGCAACAATAAGAATGAATCTCACAAATATGCCAAGTTAAAAAGGTCAAAACAAAATATTCCACATGACATGATGTCATATATGTGAATTTCAAAACAAACAAAGCTAATTATTATTGGGATAAAAGTCCGAATAATAGTTATTCCAAAGAAGGTTATTGACTGGGTTTGAACACAAGAGAGATTTCTGGAGTGTGGAGGTATATATTTTGCTTTCAGTGCTCATTCATAGGTATATAGATGTGTAAATATTCATCAAGCAGTACATTTAAAGTTTGTGCATTTTAGTACATAAAGAGTCTACCTCATAACAATTTTAAAATGCAAATTGATACACAAAAATTAATACTGAGACTTTCAAAATATAAATAAAATGCATACACAGTAGGGTGCCTATATCCATGAGTTCTGTATCCACAGATGCAACTAATTGTGGGTCAAATATCCAGAAAAAAATTGTGTCTGTGCTTATACATACAGACGTTTTTTCTTGTCATTGTTTCCTAAACAATATTGCATTGGGATTATAAATAATCTAGAGGTCTCTTAAAGTATACAGGAGAAGGCAAAGAGGTTATATGCAAATTTTATGTCATTTTATATAGGGACTTGAGTCTCCTCTGATTTTTGTATTCACAGGGGTCCTGGAACCAGTCCCCTGAACATTCTCAGGGACAACTATATTTGTGTTCATACACAAACAACAAAAACACATATATCTTCTCCTTGAATTGACTTTTTAACTTTTACTGAAGTGTGCATATCACCGATGATGTTTTACTGCACCTAAAGTCTGTCAGGAAAAGCTCTAACACTTATGATGACTTACGTTTAAAAGAGAAAATTCTACGATGAAAAAAATACTTGGACACATGTTCAAACTACCTATGTAGAGTGTGCTCTTTCTAGAAACTTGTTCTGCTGAAGGACTTGGCTACTCCAGCAGACTGGGCCCCCATAGCCCATCATTATTGAACTACCGACCTGTAAGTTCTGTAAAAAGTTCCCGGCAGTCATCAGTTTCAGAGATTCCTGCCAGGAAGGAACAGTGCAGCTTTTCTCCAGGTCGACTTTCACGGCGTTGACTTTCCTTTGAAACAGCAGCAGCACACAGTCCATGATCCGCATGATAAGGTGAGGGGGTCTGCCCAGCGTGCGGACAGTCGCGATGTCGGAAGGCTTGATCGTCTAGGGGAGAAAGGAGGGGCCATCTGACCTCAGGTAAGAAAATGCACACCAACACACCTTTCAGGTCCACAAGGTGCCGTTTCAACAGAGGACAGAGGACGTTTTTAAGTGATTCCCAGAGTCGTGATGTATTTCCAGAGTCTAGAAATGTATTTTACACCCAAGAAATGCGTATCCTAGAAAAGTCTAATTTTCACAATTCTAACTGACGGTGAGAGAAGAGAAATGTTGGTGAGCAGATAAGGAGTTGTGACTTCTCAGAAGAGGTACAGACCACTTGGTGCCAAAAAAAAAACCCACGAAAAATGTATTCTGGGGAAAGAAAAACACTCAGCACTTAAGTAGGTATCAGGGTTTGAAACCAGGAAAAAAATACCATATTTGCAGTGTTGGCTTTGTCACTCATTAGCTATGTGGGTCAAGAATCTGCCTGTCTCTCAGGCAGCTCAGGCTGTCACAGTGGACTGACACCAGAGGGTAGCCTCAGGCTGACAGATTGAATAATTAGAGGTTTCTAAGCTGGGAGCTGACCTTTAAATGAAGGAACTTGAGCATATGAATTTCACAAGGCTCAAAAAATGTTCCATTCCATTTCTAATACAGATCTTCTCATAGAATCAATTATTTAATAGTCATGCCCATTTGGGTTGACAATAATTGTGCCCTCTCTTAAAATCTTGATGAAGTAAGTGTTGGAAAAGTATTAGCTAGGAATCCATTGCAGCCCTATCCGTAGGACAAATAATGTGTATCATTCTTGGAAAACTTTTGTCTTATTTGAGTTTCCATCCCTCCTGTCAAAAGAAGGCAACCAATGGCCTCCTCGTCAAAGCAAATAATCTGTTCTCTGAAGATTAAGAAACACACAGAACTTGGAAATTCAGAATGTAACTATGCACCATGAGAAGGTTTGTTTCAATATTCTGCATTTCTAAAGGCCACAACAGCTCAAGGGTAAGGAGAATTTTCTGGGAAAGAACTAAAGATGGCAGACCTTCATTTGAGAAGTATGGACATATGGAGATAATAGAATAGCAGCCAGCAGGGAGAGCAGATTCCCTACTCTGCTATATGAATAGGATGTAGGATGTAAGGACTGGGCAGGTTTACCTTGCTTTATCTTTAAAAAGGGGAATTTTCAGATGGAGTGGGCTTTTATGTTGGGGATCAGGTATAAGTAGTTAGCAGGAGTGTTTTATTTATCTGAAGTTCAACCAGGTTGGGGCGAATTATTGAATTCATCTTTCTTCTGGAAGCAAAGTAATGTAACCAGTAGGTAATCTGCATAACCTTGGCAATACAACAGTTGTTTAACATTTGGCTGTACTTTTTACTTTTGCTTCCAGCTATTTAAAGTCAGATTAAGAGAGGAAGGGGGCACATTCTTAACTGTTACCCTTTTTCTTATACAATGTAATGTAAACTGATGTCAAAATGCTAAGAGCTTGGATGTACTGGGAACTTTCTTAGTATAAATTGGTGGACCTGTATTTTAAGATTTCATCAAGAGGCGATTAGATAGAGGCAGGACTCGGAAAGGATATTATAAAAAATCTCTCCATGACATCCTCCTACATTTGGATATTCAATGTCCATTGGGAGGTGAGGGAATATTTACAAAGGGGCCCACTGGGAGGCCATTAGGTATTGGAGGCATACCCTCAAAGGGGATATTGGGACTCCAGCCCTTCTCTCTTCTTCTTTACTTCCTGTCCACAAGAGAAGCAGTTTTTCCCCCACCGTGTGCTCCCACCATAACATGCTGCCTCACAACAGGCTAAAAGCTACTGAAGCAACCAATCAAGGGCTGGAAATTTCAAAACTGTGAGCCAAAAGAAGCCTGTTCTCTTTATAAACTGATTATCTCAGGTATTTTGTTAGAGTGACAAAGTTGACTGACATACACCCCATCACCTTCCCCCTGCTCCCTCATATTTCCCTACTAATGATTATCTAATGTAGACCATTTTATTGATAGAGAATACTAGGAGGAGTCTCGAAAACATTTTATAATATCAAAAGAGTTATTGAGCCTTTTATATATATTTTATTTATTCTTGTTAGATATACATGACAGCAGAGTGTATTTTGTATGGAGTATAATTTATTCTGATTAGAATCCCATTCCTGCAGTTGTACATGATGTGGAGTTACCCTGGTTGGGTGTTCATATATGAACACAGGAAAGTTATGCCTGATTCATTCTACTGTCTTTCCTGTTTCCATCCGTCTCCCTTCCCCTCATTTCCCCTTTTAAATCTTACAGAATCGCCTTTTAAGGAAGACCTGAGATGCTGTATGCTCTAGTCCTAGGCTTCCATCAGGCACCATAACTCAACAAAGTTTTCAAAGTTTCTTTGCACTAACATTGTCTTCTCTCTGTTGATCAGAGACTCTCGGTGCAGCCAAAGTGCCAAGAAGTTGGGAGGGGGATGCTGAGGTGACCAGAAGTCTGAAAATGGGAGACCCTAGAGGAGTCTTCAAAGATGAAGGAGGACAGTTCAGCCAGCATACAGAGAAATGGAGGAACAAGTAAGAAACAGGTCACATGCATGTGACCAAATCTATAAAGAGCTAACAGAATCTCTAAGCAGAAAATGTCACTGGGAGTGTTCCAGTGGCTACAGCATTAGTCCGTTAGTCTCATCCAGAACAGCACTCCTTGATGTTATGAATCTATTTTTGCCTTCCTAGACCGTAAACTGGTATCGGTTGCATCACAAAAACTTACCTGCAAGGCTGCTTCTGCTTCTTCTAAAGCTGGTTTGGCTGCTTCGAGTTTTTCTTCAGCAATGGCTTTGTCTTTAGAGATACTGTCTACAATGGCCTGGGCTTTGTCCTTCACCTTCTGTACCTCAGCCTTGACTGTTTCGGCAGCCTGTGCTTTCATGGTCACTTCTTTTAAGACCTAATTAAATTTATAAAACAAAAGCTACTTCATCCAAGATTGTGAAGACCCAACAGAAAAAAATGCACAGTTTTGCCCTGATCTGCTGATTTTGTCCACTTACCCAATTTTTTTTCATACGTGAAATTAACAGTATTTTATTCTTAAAGAAATAAATACCATTCCACAGTATCAGGTAGTGAATAGATGTGCATCATTAGCATTTCTACACTAGGAGCTCCAAAGGAACCGGGCCCAGGTATCAACATCTACCCACCATGTCGGCTTTCTCATTGGCCACCTGGAGTTCCTTTTCTTTTACTTCCAGTTCTTTGCTCAGGGCTGCAACTGACTCTGAAGCTTCTTTCAGCTTTTCCAAACCGGTATTCATTCTGGGGTTAAAATAATCCGAGCAAGCAATGTTAAAATCTGTGGTGCTTGGACACGTTTTCCAAGTACTAGTTCACAAATATGAGTAGATATTGTCACAGTTGAAGAATAAGTATGCAAAGAGAAAATCCAAAAGGGCTTCACAAAAGGGCGTGAAGCCAGGTTTAGTTCTAGCTCAACCACAAGTTCTTCCTAGACTATGCTTAAGAAGCATGAGCCCACTAAAACATGCTTGTTCCATAAGGAATGATGGTGCATTTAAAATGTGTATCATGCAGGAAATGTGTGTGATGACATGGAACCCCATGACAATCAACTTCAAAGGTCTGAAGCCCTGTTAGAGAGGAAGGAAAATAAATAACGACTATTTTTCAAAAGAGTCTGATGAAGTTAAAGAAAAAAGATTTGACCTCAAAGAAAAAAAAAATTAGATCCGTCAGAACTGCCCCAGAAGGGACTAACCACCTACCTGAACTTGAGATAGTGTGCTCTTAAAGATAGGACTCCTCAGACTCATTTATTCCAATCACCACCACCACCACCCCAACCCAGGGATTCCTTATATGGCGGCCCCAGCTGATTCCAACTATATTCAGGCAAACGTCTTCAGAAAAGCCCAGGGCAGAGCATTAAAGTTTGGAACAAATTTCAGGTAAGTATTATTCACTATGCAGTGAGTATATACACCAGGTTATTCTACCTCACCCACTCAGAGGGGTGGGACAGAGGAAGGAGGGAAGGTCTGCATCCTCACTGCCTCCCAGGCCTCTTATTGCTCTCATTATGCCATTGCATATCACAGAAGGTGGCAGAGCACATAAAACCTGGCAACAGTTCCTACTATTGGGCAACAACCGAGTCTCTAGGAATCCTGGGATAATCCTCTGGATGGGCTCATCCTCAGCACTGCTGGTATTTGGGGCTGGATAATTCTTTGCTGTGGAGGCTGTCCTATACACTGTAAAATATTTAGCAACATTCCTGGCCTCTACCCGTTAGATGCCACTGGCCTCCATCCCATCCCCAATCCTGCTAACCCCATTCATGGCCAACAAAAATGTCTCCAGTCATTGCAAAATATTCATGAGAAAGAATTTTGCTGCACCATGAGAGAACCCCTGAACACATAATTTGCTGCTCTAAAATGACTGTTATTTGAACTTCACACTCACCTGTTGGCCAAGGTCTGCACCTCGACACGCTTTTCTCCATAAATGAACTTATAGCCCTGAATAAAGGAGAGGTATGATTTGGGGGTCACGTGGGTGGAACGTCGGAATCTCTGGAAATAATCCACACACTTCTCAGCCACCCCGTCCTGGAAGGAGCCCATGCATTGGACCACCTCCCTCTTGGTTTCCAAACTGCAGTCAATCTCATAGGAAGAAAGGAAGTGTTCGGACACTGCAAAGAATCAGGAATGACAGCAGGTAAGATACAGATGTGAACAGCCATTTTAAAAGTTGCCTGGCTATTTTTAAAGGACTGACATACTTCCTAGGGCTGCATACCATTTTTGTAGCCCCAGCTAGGTAGATCTATGTCACCACTTTTGGCCCCAGGCCTAAGACATCAACAATTCCATTTTCCCTTTCATACATAAAACTATAAAAGACTTCCAGCCTATCTATCATCATTCTTTGGTTTTGGTGCTTGTGCACAGAAGTCTCCTCTACACAGCTGCACGATCTGGTCAGCAGCCAGCCTGTTTTTATGGTTTACGTAAGGACAAAAGTGATACAAATAACTCAGACATCAGTGCCCACCTGGTACTCATATTTAACAATCCCATTTTTTTTTTAAATCAGAATCTGTCAGTCCCCTAATTCCTCCAGGCTCTGACTGCATTTGGCACATAGAAATGTTCATCACTAAAATTTTTTATGCCCAGGTTATCCTGCCCTTAAATGCAGCAGCTGGCCATTGGTGTCTGGATCTAATTTGTAGCATCCTTTAGAAATGTTTGGGTAAAAATCTCTTCTTGGAGAACTTTTACCTTCCTCATAGTACCTGACAGCAGACCAATTCTAAGACAGCATTTTCTGCTATAAGAATAAGCTAAGAGCTGATCAATTGCCACATACATACTGAGTGATTCTCGTATATCCAGCACTGTGAGGGGTGGCAAAGAAAAGAGAAATATAAAAGCTGATCTCAACCTCAAAGAATTCACAAGGGTTATGCATAATGTAGTTAAAGATTGTCACAACCGTTTTTTATGTATTTTAGAAAAACTAGCCTATGTACATAAGAATTATAAATGGAAATATAGCCAGTAAAAACTGGAGGGAAAGAAAAAGAACCAGGTGAGCAAGCCTAACATGTGACAGTTAGCACAGACATGCAGAAGGGTGGCTTTTCATCATTAGAAGGTGATCACTAAACTAGGTTCTCTTGCAGTAAACAGGGACCATTCATCAGTTTGGTTACACTTGCAAATTACCACATACTGCAAGGCAACAGATTAGACACACTCAGGACATATATTTTCTATGAGTTTAGAAAATACTATAAAAATAGTTTAAATTCTAGAAAGTTTAATTCTAGGCACTGGAAAGATAGAAAGAATTCTTACCTGTGACAGTGTGTTTGTGTGGGTGTCTGTGTGTGTGCAGCTGGGGATTGAACCCAGCGCCTTGTGTGTACTATGCAAGTGCCCCACGCTACCAATGAGCTATAACCCAGCCACTCTATGATGGAGTTTTTTAAGTGCTAACCACCATAGCGCAATATGCACAACTCAGCATGCACAATGCTGAGCGCTTTACTTGGCATTACAGGATATCTTCAGGACAACTCCCACTCGCTGAAAACTTCTTTGTTTTACCATGTGACCTTTTTTTTTCTTACACAGATGAACAGAGAGAATCAACAATGGGAACCTTTTTCTTTATGTAGCAAGTTATCTCTTTATATTCCCCCAAATCAAAGAGAATAAAAATGGGATGATTTTATACAGGAAAGGTTACATAAAAGACCTCTCAGGGTGACTCAGGCCCACTAAGAGGCAGTCGTTGACAGTCATTGACTGCCTCTTAGGTAGAAAGAGGTTCATGGTGAGCTGGAAAAGACAAAGGGAATTGGGGCCAAACTGTGGAAGGGTGATGAGTTTTAACACTGAGCACCTCGTCAGACACGAGTAGCTACCCTCGTGGTGAATAGAAAAGATGTAGTCCTTGGCCTCAGGCATTCTAGTCTTGTGGATGGATGAGCATTAACCCTCGAGCCACACAATTAGGTCTGTGAATTGGAAACTGTGGTTGGTCTCAAGAAGGACAAGCACCGTGTGCTATGAGATGGACAACAGGAGACTGCTCGGAGCAGGAAAGGGGGAAGCACAGGAAGATTTTCCAAGAGGGGAAATTTTGATGAGTTAGCATTACCCAACTAAAGGGAATAGGGTGCTGTGGGGAATGGGAAGATGATGGTTTTGCATGAGACAAAGAAATGGCATGTTCAAAGATCCAGGGAACCGGCATGAGAGGGAGAGTGAGCTCAGGGGAGGGGCCAGCTCTTCCCAGCTATGAAGGTAATAGAAGGACACAGAGAGATTTAAGCAGAAAGCTGTGTGGTTGGTTTGTGATTTTACCATTTTACTGTTGGCAGTCTGAGATGGATGAAGACAGGACAAGGGAAGAGAGATCCTAAGAGAGCAACCAGTTTTTCTCATGTGAGCAACAAGGTGGCTTGATGCAGGGGGTCAGTGAAACAGAAAGAGGCAGATTCCCCCAGGACTTAGGAGGGCCATGACACAGTGTGGAAATGCATCACACCTGAGAGCTGAAGGAAAGGCAGCTGCGAAAGACCCAGAGGTCTGCGATTGCCTGTCTCAGGAATGATGGTGGCACTTTCTAAGAGGGGGAACCAATTTGGTTTCAGATATTAAATCCAGGGAACCTGTGAAACATCCATAGGAATGGATCAAACAGGCAGTTGAGAGCACAGCTTTCAAGCCAGTGGACAGACTAGGCAGGAGATAAAAACCAATGGTACATATTATACAGGAGGCTATGGATGAGCTTTCCTGCAGAGAGAATCTGGAGCAAAGAAATGGGTGTGCCTCACCCTCCAACATGCCTGGCTCACTGCACCAGCAAGCTCAACAAACATGTTTCCAACAGATGAACAAATAGATTCATGCACGAATGAACAAATAGATTCATGCACGAAGATCAGGACACTTGCAAGGAACTGAAGCACAGAAATGGGAGTTTTCCTGCCTCTACGTAATCTTGGCATGGGTTGATGTAACGAGATTCAAAAGAATGGGACAGATTTGTGAGAAATTAACAAAGAAAGGATGAATGGTTTGTCTTATAAAAGAAAGGATGATTGAAGCAGGGACTTCACAGGAAGGGCTCTATTTATAAATTGAATCATTTTAAGAGTGCTACATGACAGTTATGTCACCTGGTGTTTTTCGTTGCTAATGATAATATCTCACATTTTACAAAGCATTTGCACACTGATTACAATATTTTATCGTGAGCTTTAGTATAACTCTCAAATACTGTTGTTTTGTGCCCTGCATGCATATCCTACTTCAAGGAATTTTAAAATCTGACCTGTAGTTCTATTTATATTTTTATAGAACTTAAAATTTAAAATTGCCAGTCTTTTTTCAAGCTTTGTGAAACAAAGAAGAAAATTACACTGTACACTCATACTTCAAACATGTTAAGATATTTTTTATTTAAAAGTCACATCTTGGAAAACCATTATTGTAAAGAATAGTGTGCCGAGAATAAAACTTCCCCGGTGGACATAAGTTTTGTTTTGTTTTGTTTTGTTTTAAAAAAAAGGAAAGTAGACAAACAGAGATGACTGACTGATTTATACATATGATTGAGAGATGACAGATTCATGAAAGATAAATACATGATAAATTAATAGGTATAGATAAATGATCAATATGATAGCTGATTAATAGATTCGACAGATAGATAAGAGAGATGGAGAGATGGATGGATGATAGATAGGAAAACATGTTCTAGCCCCAGTACTGATCCTACTGGCTCCTTCCACCTCTGATGAGTCCCTCGGCTTCCCTCTCCCCAGTTTCTCCATCTCTAGCCCCTCCATCAGTCATTCTCACACAGGGTACCACAGAGTTGGAGGGGCAGGGTCGGAGGGGCAGAGTGGTGGTGCTGAGAGGGGGAGATTCCAGAGTACCTCCTCACCCTTCATCTTTCAGTGCTTTATCTGGTAGGGATACCTGTAAGGCATTACCAGGAAATAAACTATAAAATCAGATGAGAAATCTGAAAACTACCACTCTGAATCAGGATTCCCCTAAAATTCTGAAACAGAGGTTCAGGATTATCTGCAGCTTTAAAAATAGCCATGGACAATTTCACACTCAAATCTGGGAAAAAAAAAAAAAACAGCACATTAAATGTCTAATCTCTAACACGTTCTGCACTACTCTCCCGTTCCAATTTCACTTACAGAGTAAAAGAGGCATTACGTTCCCAAGGGATGGAAGATTGGACAGAACAGGCTGACTCCCATCGGAGAACTGGTAACAGCCTTTGTCAAGGACAGAGGCCATTAGAGGATTGTGGGATAATGTTTTTCTCTCTGATGTACAGCATCGCAGCAATGGGGAGGGAATGTCCAAGAGACACTTGGTTTTAACTATTCTGGGGCCGACAAACCCACTTAGATAGACCAGTGAGATTAACATCTTGCTTTCTTCCTGTGACATCCCCAAAACTGCCTGGGGATTCGATTGGAGGCAAAGTCTGCAAATACCCTAAGAAAAACTACAGTCACTGTAAATTAACCCAAAGGGTAGAAACTGAAGGTCTCATTCTCTGATAAACTTGCTCCAGGAAAAATCAGCTACCTGATAAAAAAGAACAACGTCTCATAGCAAAAATTCTCAAATGCTGTATGAAGTGAGTCAGTTCAACCCAATACAGAGATAGCCAACGGCACAGAACATAGATGAATAAACAAACACTGTGAACCAGAAACCCTGACATGAACATTTCCACCACACTAACCAGCAACTAGGGCGTCCTTAGGCCATCGGCTGAACCAGTCAATCGTGCACCCTGAAATAAGGGCAGGGAACTTCAAAGCTCGATTTCGGAATTTCTCCCCCACGGGAGAGAAGCAGAGCACTATGTGAAGGTTGCTTCGGACGCGGCACATGAAGTAGTCACACAGGTTCTCATTGGTAGGAGGGCGCCTGGGGTGCTCCTTTTTCATGACTAAGGTCAGATCGCTATTGATTTCGTCAATTTCATCACGAGCAAACAGGTTGGAGACCTGAAAAAGAAGTGCAGGCATCTTCCTTCAGGACACACACCTCCAGACAAACCTCAACACACACCTCGGGAGCTGATGTTTTTCCTCCACTTGGGGTCTTCAACGTGCCTGTTAAAACTTAACTGAAAATTTCAAGATGAAGTCTACCGCATCTCAAAATCACCAACAATTCTATGATTAACTGCAAGGCCACATCCCTCAAAGTGGGTAAAACAAACACACCCAAATGCAGCCTTTCTTCTCCCCTCTGCCCTGTTTCCTCGATTGCCACTGGGGGCACTCACTCGTGTTTTAAATGCTTAGCCCCTTGTTTTCATTGGGACCTTCATGCTTGAAAAACACAGGAGCCGCAATGGTGTATGCCTGCAATACCTTCCCCCTGGGAGGCTACGGCAGGAGAACTGCAGGTTCAAGGCCAGCCAGGGTGGTTTAGCAAGACACTGTTGCAAAATGAAATAAAAAGGGCTCGGAATGGAGCTCAAGGGTAGAGTGCTTGCCGAGGCCCTGGGTTCAAGTTCAATCCCCAGTATTGTTTAAAAGAAAAAAGATCAATAGAAAAAAAAAAACCATTCTCTACACTGATCACCAAGTCCCCAGTAGCATTGTAGCATTTATTCAAAACTCCAAGGGAAGAAAATAGAGAAAGTTCTTAAGGCAGAGAAAATCTGGAGAGATAAAACGTGTGAAGAATAAGTGAGCTCCTACCTCACCGGATGATAAAACATTGTTCATGTATTCCAGAAATGACTCCTCTTTAATCTCATTGTCCGTGAAAATAAAAGTGATTCCTTTCCCTTGCTGACCAGCCGTCCTATACAGAACCTTTAGGTCTTCCATCAGGTTTGATGTGTTGTAGGATCTGAAAAAATATTGTCATTGTGTCGTTAGCTAACTTGTTCTCAGGGGGAAAAAAAAAAAAAAAGATCCGTGTAATAATAATGCTTTACACCAGTTAGCTAGGCAAAAAGTGCAGATTTTGTGCCATCATACAGTATCTACTGGATATAAATGTTCCCGGCTAATTGATTTTTAAAACTCCACATTTCATAAAACATTACAATTACATAAAGAAAAAAACTAAAATGAAAAGCCGGTCTGAAACAGAAATATAATTTCTACTACGAGCAAATGTCAGTTGAATGAATACATGTAACATTTTGAAAATAGTTGTTGGAAATGACAGAATATTTTGAAAGCCCCCTATCTTAAACTGGTATTTTAGAAGACATCTCATAACTTAAATCAATTCAAGCTTTAATTTTATGGGGAGAAGCTGCCCTATTACAAATGATCCCTCCTGATGCCCCCATATGATTATTTCCCTCCATGTCTTTGGATTCCACATAAAAGAGTTTTCTGAATAATCTGTACCAAAATCGCCAGAAATGCTACGAATATCCCACTGTAAATCTTCCATTGAAAGTAAATCTTAGTTACAAGTCAGAATCAAGAAAGGTTAGCGAGGTCTCAATAAAGAGTCATCTGTTACTGCCAGAAGTAAAAATAAAAATATTCTAATCTTGGAGACTGAGACTTAGTAAATTATTATTTGTCCTTTCCATCATTCAAGAAACTTGCAACCCATAGCACAGGAGCAACTGGCCACCTGACTTGTTAAAAGCTGCTCATATTTAACTTCTGTACTCTGACCTATTTCAAAATCTATAAGCTCATGGTTCCCAAATGGTAGCCTCCCTTGCATGCCAGCCTCAGCCACACATGTGTGCAAAGGCCTAAGGAGCAGGATGCAATCTCAAAGGCGGTGAGAAGGCAAGGCAGACTTTGGCCCTTTCTCTCATTGTTGATGGGTCATTCCTGTGTGACATGCAGAGGAACTGACTTGTCTAAGTGAACATTTCCCCAGGGTACATTTACTGAGGCCCCAAGATGCAGTTGAAGCCACAATGCATTAGGAATCTGGATTGACTACCAAGGTCCTGCAATCGATTTCCAGCTACATCTGAGAGGTCAGGCAATTCTCAGCCTCTCGGAACTTCAACTTCAAGATAGGCTATTGCCCTCTTAACCCACTGAGTTGTTTAAAAAAAATCAAACTATCTCATGCATAATAAAGTGCTTTGAAAACAATAAGGTTTTAAACAATGTTAGGAACAAAAATCAGTCCAATCCTTTTCCTGTGTAGGTTGTATTTTATTTGGCTCTGTCTCTGTCCACAAACTAGAAGAATCATACAAAGGTAAACACAGCATATTTCTGTCAGCCCTGTTACTTCAATAAAAGAGCAGTGTATGGTTTGGAGTTAGAATGTTCCCCAAAGGTACATGTGTCGAAGGCTTGGTCCCCAATGCAGCAGTGTTTGTATGGGCGGGATCTTGGGAAGAAATTGAATCCTAGGGGTTCTAAGCTCACCAAAGGATTCATCTGAAATAAACCCTTCCTCCCCTAATGGGTTTTCTGAGGTATTTTGTCAAAGCAACAAGAATCTGACTAATGCAAGCAATCTTTAAATTTATTCTCCAAGAAGAACCCTCTAAATCAGACCAAATACAAACTGTAACAACCGCGGCTTGCATAACAGACTCTCCAACCCTGGAGATTCAGCCTTTGTCCTAGCAGGTGTCTATGAGACTCCCCCAAGAGACAGGTCAATGACATGTTTTGCCCATCAATGCCCACTAAGCAAGACTTCCTACTCCCACATCTGTAAATTAACCTCAAATAATCTTCATTCCAACTAAACTTACCAGACTGGCTTCCAACCTTAACAAGGCTAATCCTGAAACTCTCTTTAACTGCTCTGAATCACCTCCACTGATCTCTTCCTATTCGCCCGCCAGTTGTGCTTTCTCCTTGCACTACACACACATACCTGAAGACAACTCCTCTGGGGTCCCCTCTCTTGATGAAACTACCTAGCTAGTTTCCCAAGCCCCAAACCAGGATGCACCAATTCCGTGAGGCCAGACTTCCAGTGGTCTGTTCTCCCTCTCTGCATTCTCACTGCCACCACTCACTCGTGACACCGTCACACCTTGCCCTGACCCAGCCTCATTGCTATTCCAGTTTAGTTGCTTCCATTCACTCACTGCACGTCCGAATCTGTCAGGCTCTGCTTTCCTGATCCGCCCACCCCGACCAGGAGGGCATTTCCCCGAGGAGAACTAGAGGTAACCCATCAATGGTGTCCTGTTGCTCTCAGAGGAAGTCTCAGAGCCTCAGCGACCTTCACAGGACCCTGTGTCTCTTCTCTTCCCATCTGTACCCTCTCACTGGGCACCCAGCCATAGGCAACTTCTTCCAGGGCTCATGTGCTGACTGCTCCTCTTCTCTGCGACAATTCCTACTCATATTCAGGTTTTCAACTGAAGCCTCATTTCCTCCAGGAAGACTCTGTGATCACTCCCTAGTTTAAAGGCACCTCTTTTATGGGCCAAGGAGAATTGTTCTGCACTCATTTCCCTATCTTAGACAGCACTGACGAATCACACCTTATTGAATGAGTGGCTCCTTGTCTGTCCCCTTTGAGTCACTGTAAGCTCCACCATGACACAAGCTACTTCATCTTTGCCATAGTTTGGCTCTGGAATGTCCCCCAAAGGCCTATGTGGAAGGCTTGGTCTCCAACCTGTGGTGCTGTTGAGAGGTGGAACCTTCAGGGGGTGGGGCCTAGTGGGAGGAAGTTAGGACCTGGAGGCATGACCTTGAAGGGGTATTAGGACCCTTCCCTCCTCACACCCCATCTTTCCCAGCTGCCAGAAGGCCAGCTCTCTCCATCAGGATCTTGTGCCTTGTCACAGGTCCAAAATCAACAGGGCCAAGTGACCATAGAAGAAAGCCTCTGAAACCAAGAGACAAAATAACTCTTTCGTCCTACTAAGAAAGTTGACTGACACAGCATCGCTCCCCTGGCCAGTACCAGACACACAGTCAGTGTCCAATAAGACACTTTGAAGGGTTTGAGTAAATCAACGTACATTTTTATCTATTTTCCATTATATTAACATTCTTGAAATCTGCATTAATGCACAGGAAAGAGAGGTTTTCTCTGAAATGCACCAAAAGAAAAAATACAATACTCGTGTTGTCTATGGCATCAAAACAAGGAAGCAGTCGTTCACTGAAGTGGGAGGCTGAAATGTTTCAAAAGCAGGTTGTTAATGTGAAATGTTCATGGACCACGACGAAGGTTGAAAGGGGAAACTTAGTCAACGATGGAGAAGGAAAGCTGTTGCGATTCTTAATGTATATAAGGAAAATGCATTCTTAACTCGAGGTGGCCTCTGATAACCTTTCTGCAAAATCCATTCTAGGTTAAATTCAAAGCTTTTTACCTTGTCAGAGTGATCTGGAAGGAAGTATAGCCAGCAATGAATGAAGCCAACCTTGTCAGGCTCTGCTTTCCTGATCCGCCCACCCCGACCAGGAGGGCATTTCCCCGAGGAGTACGAATGACTCGAGAGATCTATAATATGGAATAGAAAAGGCATAGATCTTTCAACATGTAAACAGACTGGTTTTTTTCCATTTTTTTTTCAATGTGAAAATAAGGCCAAATAATCATTTTAGAAGACAGAGCAATCTTAAGATCAGAAAGAGATGCCGGTTGAAGGAATGAGGGCATCTCTGAAACAGTACTGTGTTTAGGATGCATTGGACAGTGCAGGGCTCTGTGTTGTCAAGGAGGTAGTGGGGACTTCGAGGTGTCCTTTCAGCTTGCCCAGCCTATTGTACCGCAACGGGGAAGAGAACAGACATTTCAAACCAATGTCTATCCTCAGAACTCGCAGAGCGTGCAACTGATTAAGATATCCTCCACATTTGAAAAAAAAGGAGTTTAAATCAAAGAGAAGTCAAATCCTAAAACGGGGTATACACAATAGAAACACCCTCCTATTTTTTTGGCAAAGACAGTGAACCTAAAATATCCACAGAGAAGTGACTAAAGGATGATCAAAAGGCTGCTCCATGATGATCACTTGCCCCAGACCATGCCAAGTCCCCCTTCTAGTGGAAGTTCATATTTATTTGGCTTTATTCCTACTTGATAAAGTAGGAATAAATGAACTACTTCAACCACAAGGTTTCCAGTCCCACCTGGAAAGCAGCGTTAGGTGTAGAATTCTTGGCAAGCCTTTTCCCTTGTGTGGTAACTATTTCTCCTTCTTTCCTAACTACCGTTGGAATCTGGGGAGCTGCTGTGAAAGTCACTTTCCCAAAACAAATGAGGTTAGGGCTGGAAAGGGGTCACTTCTCCGTGGGAAGGGAGGCTTCCAAGAGTCTCTGGGCTCTCTGTTCTGCCTAGGTTTTGTCAAACACCCTTTCCCAACGTTTCCTCCTCTAGTTGGAAGGTGCTCCATCCCTGCTGGAAACACCCTTGGGTTTTGGACCATCTCACCCACTTCAGCAGGAATCCTGGGGAAAGAGACCACCCAGTTTCCCTGCTCTGTGGGGAGCCGACAACCTTGAGGCCAGCTGCTTCCCCAGCTCCGAGCACATCCCTGCGGTGACTCTCTCCAAGTCCTAGTGGGTGAGAGGGTAGACGGGTGAGAGGGAGACAGCGCAGGTAAGGAGCTACCAGAAGCCGCACTTCTGAGGAAGTCTTGTGTGCTTCCTCAACTGCCACGTTTCAACCATAATTGTTTCCTTCATGTGATGGGAGGGAATATATTAGGGGTTTGTAAGAATTTTGTGTATCTGGCATTAAGGAAATGTCACTCAACCTGTTTACCTGGAACTGGGCTGAAGTCCCACATTAAAATTTCCCATTCCTAGTCTCTGGCACAGGGTACCCCCTCAACACATATTTGACAAATGAACACATACATGAACAAACAGAAGGCTTTAAAAGGGAATTTAAAAACTCATGCCCTTGTTTTTAAATATTTCAGGAGGAAAGTACAGTCAAGTGAGACACTCAAATAGGGCTTTTTCGACCTATAAGGTGTGGATTGTGAGATAGAGAAATTCTTTTTTGAACCCCATTAGCAAGTATTTAAAAATTAAAAATGTTTCTCTTGCCCTGCAGATGATCACACGATGGCAGGAGAGAGACCTGTTGGTAATAACCAGCATGAATGGGAGAACAGAGAGGAACGGCCAGTGGGAGGAAGATGGGCCAAGGAGACATTCCTGGCTCAGGGCAGGCAAAACTCAAGTGTGCAGCTGGAACAGGCTGATCTTGGAAGACGACTAGAAGTTTATCACACAAAGGTACTGTGCTGGCAGCAGGTGGGCGACATCTTAGAAGGAATAAGACAAAATTTCAGAGTCAGTGAAAGTCCCAAGGTGTTCCCCTAAGGGTGGGAACTTCAGCAGGGGGCAGGGAAAGTGCAGGAGCTGAGGCAGCAAAGCATTGTTCAGGCCCACACTGGTGACCTCCTGAAATTCCAGACAATTCATCAAGAGAACCCTGTGTGACCATCTCAACATTCACTTGTCCTGGGAAGACTGAGCTGACTTAGCGCCTGCACTCACAAAGCTTACTGTCTAGCAGGGCTGGCAGACACACAGATAAACTCTACACAGTGCAGCACGGGGCCGGGGGATTTGTACTGGTGAGCGGCTCTGGGTCAGGATGCACTCACTCCAAGCAGGTCATTTTCCTGGATTATGCACAAGGCAGAGGCATGGCCCACAGGCTGATTGGTAGAAGGGGTAAATCATGGAAAACCACCAATACCAAAGTCTGAACTTTCACTCAAGAGGCAAAGAGATGCGTAACACAGCAACACAGCCTGGGTTTAAAGATGATTATGCTAATGAGGAAGGGAGCTAAGAAATATACTGACTGGGATCACATCCCATTTGGCTGCAGATTTTGTCTCCAGTTCTGTCTTTTGGCTTCTGTCTCGTCTTACAACTGGGTCACATATTTCAAGCTCATATTCTCACGACACAGAGCTCGAGTGTGCTGAGCACAGAAAACTAGAGCGTGAAATGTCCAATTTGGGCTCAAAAATTCCAGTCCAGGATTCTTTGGCCAATTCCAGAGCAAATCGACTGAAGGCTGAGAAGAAGGGAAAACAGCTTCAAGGCCCTAAGCTAACATCATGCCTCTAGTGCACACCCAGATGGATAAAGAGGGGCTCATCATTGATCTGTGCTGCAAACCATGGGCAGAGATGGCTGGGGCGAACTCGCTGAGGCACAAAACTGACATAAATAACCTCCTCTGTAGCTCCTGGGGATGTGAAGTCCCAGGCCAACCCAACTGTCTCCAACAGATACTTGGCTATAAAGTCGCCTTCGGTATCACCCATTTAGGAAAAGACATTTTTCTTTTCTTCCCCCCCTTTCTTTAATTATTATATGACAGACGTCTGTTCTTCCTGAAAAAATTAACTCTTAACCTATTATAAATCCAGTTCTAATTTCAAACAGTGATATATTGCTTTGGAAGAGCACAGGGCTAGTCATGCAGCACAACTGGATGTCTCTGATTCTGAGAATTCGGTGTCACCAAGCTAAGGACTTCTTGCTGGAGAGATTCATCCCCCTCTTCTTCCTCTTCTCAGACTTACTCCAGAGGCACTAATAGAAAGGTTTCCCTTGCCTCTTCAGAGAAAAGAAGCTGTGAGACCTTTCACTAGACAAGCTCTAAATTCCTCTTCATATATCTAAGGTCTGGTAATTATTAGAAGAGACAACTTGTATTTATGAGCTTGTTCCTCATGGTTAAACCTAAGCAACAGAAGACAGCTTCAAACTGAAAGGATTTAGACTGAAAAGGTAATGGGTGTCAACAAAGTGAGAATATCCCCAGAGTTTTAAACGGCATTCTCTTACACCACAGATAAATTAAGTCACATAAGTTTCTGAGTAAAATATCATATTGTTCTTCTAACCTTTGAGGATCCATTATTCTAAAAGTAGATACCATAATGATCCAAATGACAAAGTAGAATGGAAACTGTACTTTCCTGGGGGAATCTCATTCTGAAGGAATTTTCATCAGCTCAAAGTCAACTGTATATGCATGCTTTTAAATTATTACTTTTAATTGTGGCAAAATGCACATATAATTTACCACCACAACCATTTTAAGTGCAGTCTAATAGAGACAGGCACAGTCCCAAGGGTATGCAACTAGCAATACCATCCATCTCCAGGGGTCTTTGAATCTTGCAAAACTGAAACTCTGTGCCCCATTTAACACTCCTACCTCCCCTCTCCACCCAGCCCTTGGCAACATCTATCTATCCTTCCTGTTTTTTAATATTCTGGGTACCTAATTGGAACAGAGTGCTACAGTATTTGCCCTTTGTGTCTAGCTTGTCTCACTTAGCATAATGTCCTCAAGGTTTATGCACTGCTTTATAGTGATAATCTTCCCGTGATACGCAAATAAGCAGACTTTGCCTTTACTCTGAACTCTGAGGTCAACCACGTTCATTCTACGTGGTGAAAACACCGAGCTGACAGCTGTGTAGCAACACTGAATAAAATTATCACATCACACACTGGAAGTACACATGCTCTTATTTTAAGCCTATGAGGTGTGACATGTTGCACTCGGTTTAGAAGTTAAATTGGAATAGAGCCCTGAGTTCACTTTGAAGCTGAGTAGTCTCCTAGGAGACCAAAATGGAAAGTGGGGTAGTTCTGGAACAAAGCCAAGTGTGTGTCACTCCCAGGAGGTGCTACTGGGCAAGGCCACTGTACCTTGACCAAGTGCACCATCGCATCCGCAAAGAACACCAGGTCCATGCCAGCGCCGCGGACACCCTCATTATGCAGCTGCAGGAACAGATTCAAACGCTCTTTCAGTTGATGAAAAGATTCAATTGGCTCATACACTTTGGGCATTTCGGCATCAGGCTCCTCAGATGTTTCACCTTTGGTGGGGAAGAAGATTCAATGAAGTTTCTTGAAATTGCCGGGCTTCCCTACTTCCCTCAACCTCTATTAATATACTCATAGCCCTAAATAACATGAAAATTATTAATACTACTGAATAACATTAATTTTCATTAAAATGCCATGTTATACATTTTTAGGGGAAAAAAATAGGGGAAGCATTAGGATTTCTACAATCATTGGCAGCCCTAATTCTTTCTTGTCTAGAAAGAGTCACTTTGAAATAATGTGCTCGCTGAATTTAATTTGAAATCACAATTAAACACTGCATTTCAGAGATCCTTTCAGAGATACGAGCTTAATGATTAAAATGAAAGTGAAAAAAGTAGGGACTTCACATCAAAATCTCAAGGGAGGTCAAGAATTACATAACTTTTTAAATAAGAAGAAAAAGAATAAGGTCATTGCATTTGCCCGGGGAACTTCTATGATTTAGAAATTTCGGTTAATGGTAAATTAAATGGTAAAGATAGAAGGGCATTTTAAGGTATGAGAGAAAAGGCTGAGCTACAAATAGCCAAATTTCAGTAGTGACAATTCTCACATAAATGATCAGCAAGCTTTGAGAAATGAAGTGCTCTGAAGTCACAAAAGGTTTTGTTTGCCTCTGGACCCCACCCCACCCCAAAGACACAGCAGTTGCTCTTGCTCCTTGAAAACCATAATCTAATTATTTACCTGTCTGAATTAGAGGAAATCAGGTAACTCAAACAAATAAATACAAAATAAATGTTGACTGTCTAGTAAAATCCCCTTACAGGATTTTTATGTATTTAACCTGATTTAAAATAAAATGTATTCACTTCTTTCCAACTGCATAGCCCAGCAATGAACCTTCTGCAATTATCCCTCAAAAACTTTTGACAGATCACGCATACTACAGGGACTGCCCGATGTTTCCCATCGTTTAGAAGGCATAAACTGCAGCTTTTTGAACATGCCTTTTTAGATATGCACATTAACTTAAAATCTATCCTCAGCATTAGAAGAGGTTATTTAGTGAAAGAATAATATTCCTCATGAGCCTGGTTATTTCTGAAGCAAACCAATCGGAGCGCAGCCTCTTTTCATGAGAAATGTACTCTGTCTCCTCTTTTCATAGAACCATAGGCCCTAAAGCTTCCCTTCACATCACTGTCTCTTTCCAACTGCATTCAATGCTTTCTCATTGAGATTTTCCTTTTTAGTTTCAACATCCAGATGGCTTGAGTAAGTCATTATCTTCATTTTTGCTACCTTTCATTTGACAGTAACTATGGGCCAAAAATGCTCACACTACTCTCCACATAATGTTGTTCCCCACAATGTCCAAGAGCCACGTATTTATATTTATATTTTTATAAATGAGGAAAACAAGGTTTGGGGTTCAGAAATGCCTGGTTACTATGTGTTTTATCATCCTTGAATCTCCCTCAAACTGACTCCTACTAATGCTGGGCACTTTCTTCCACCCTCTCCTGCCTTCCCACTGTATCTTAATATTCAAGAGAAATGAGCATAAAAATAATTCATCTTTGAATTCCAGAATTATGCATTTATCCACTCACTATATACTGACTGAGCACCCATTCGACCCCTGGCTTGTTTCCATAATTTGCCAAGCAGAAACTTAACCTCCCTAAACGGAACCTTCTGTCTTTAGATCTCCCTAAAGATCTAAAGAAACCTTTGGGAGGATTTTCAAACTCTGCTTCAACAGTTTACCTGTAGCTTCTGGTGCATCCCTTAAGAAATCCACAAAATAAGCATCGATTCCATAATCCACCAAGAGTTTTTCCTCTTCGCCAAACTCCTCCTGTACCAAACTTGCTAAAGTCTTATCAAACCAGGTCACATCATCAGACACGGTGAAACGATCCGCTATCACACGTTTACATTCGTGCTTCCACAGCTTGAACAGCTCCTGTTGAGACATGATCAAGATGTGTCATGTCCCTACCAGGCCATACCTAGGAATTCAAGTTGAGATACAATGTAGAGTGAGATCTTTTCTTGATTTAAGATGCAACACTTTAAAGGGTTATCTTAAGGGTTAAGATATGACTCTTTCACTTCAAATTACTCTCATTCAGGTATGATAAATGGAAAGTAGAGTTTATACTTTTGTAGTCTCTAAGTTAAAAAGAAAACATCCCTATACAAAAGTATTACAGATTACTCTGATCAACTAACAAACTGATACACAATGAAGAGGGTTTAAGTTTGTGATAAATTAGTCTTTGGGATAAGATACCTTCATTCATGTGGCCAAAATACAGTATAAAATACAATTTTCTTGTGTACAACTGACCTATTACAATGGCATATTTAGTTAACACAAGTGAAGAAAATTTGTTGCAGAAAATCTGGGTTTTAAACAAAGGAATCACCTAATACAGATAATCCAGGGCCCCAAAGTTTACTGAAAGTTGAAGAAATTAGTTGTACATGTTTTCTGTCCCTAGCAAAAAAATAACAAATATTTTTGTAATCTCATTATTTAATTTAAAAGACGAGTAGAGCCAGGCACAGTGGAACATACTGTGACACCAGCAGCCAAGGAGGCTGAGATAGGAGGATCTCAAGTTCAAAGCCAGCCTCAGCAATGGCAAGGCACCAAGCAACTCAGTAAGACCCTGTCTCTAAATAAAATACAAAATAGGGCTGGGGATTTGGCTCAGTGGTTGAATGCCCCTGAGTTCAATTCCAGGTACCAAAAAAAAACACTAGTGGATATTATTTACCTTGGTAACATTTTGCAGATTAGAGGGTTTTATCAATAATGATAAAATGCTATTTGGTTAGCAGAACAAAGTCTCTTAAATTATATTCAGTGATGCAGTTAAGACAAAAGTTCACAATACCAATTGCTGAAATTGTTTTAGCTGACTAAAAATAAGCACCAAAAATGGTTATCAGATACAGCAGTCCTTGTGGAACTGCATTCCACAACTCCATTAACTTGTCGATGACTATGGGGGAAAAAAATCAACATGTCCACTGTTGCTAAACTGACTCTCAATTCTCTTGTTGAAAGGATTGTGAGTTTTCCCAAAAAATATCTAGTCTTCAAGAGTTAGCAAGTGTGATTACCTATTTGCAAGCATCTGGGACAGAATTGAGAGTTATTTTTAACAGTCAACACAGAATGCTCAATAATAGTATTTTTGATTATTCGACTCTGAATTTATGGAGGGGAGTCCCCTAAATCCCACTTACTTAACTTACTTCCTTGGCTCCAGAAAGGCTGGAAGAGAGTCCAATCCTGCCTTTGCCTGTGGACAGGGCCTCACTTTGAGGAAAAGGCATACTGGATTTTTACATAGCGCTCTTAGTTTGAAGGAAAGCCCTGTACTGGGAACCGTCAGATTCAAGTATATGTACAACACACTCATTTTTGTATTAAATGAATTTTCAACTCTGCTGCCTATTTTCGATTTTACCAACACGCACAGTTCTTTTAGTACATCTATTACAAGGAGGAAAGCTCATGGGTGATTAACAACAAAATGGTTTCTTTTCACTCTGAATGTTTATTTATAAGGATAATTACTTTTTAAAGTTAAAATGTCAAGCTTAAAATATGAAGACTATTATAGGGTAAAATCAATAATGATTATTTCCATTATGTAGTTTTAAAAAAAAAAAAGTCTTAGGATGGGAAAAAACTCAATTGTTTCTTTTATTTCAATCACCAGAAAACAATTGTGTATACTATTTCCATAAACATAAACCTAATTAGTTGGAACTTTACACTGAAGTTTTCTGACATATTTACCTTTTTCCTTATTCATGTTAGTTGAAAAACAGTGAAGAAATGAATATGCATGCTAAATGATCCAAAATATTTTCATACAAATTAAATTAATAAACATATTTAGGATGTATGATAAATAGCAATGTTATCTGCTTTTCTTTCTTCCGTGTCACTTACGGCTGGTTCTCTAATGACCTCTGAAGTAGTGTTCAGCATTCCTTGCCAGATCCTAGAAAGATCTCGGAGGTTAAACACGTAATGGAATTTCGCTGGAGTGGGGAGCATTTTAACCTTGGTCATCTGCCACAGTTGGCGTGTCAGGGGCACCAGTTTCATCACTGAATCTCTCACTTCCTCTGAGAAACCCCTCTGGGTGCAGTAGTGGCCTACCCCAATCACTCCTGAAAGGGAAATCATAATGTTTTGACAGATCATTTAAAGAAACCCAATTAAAATGAAAAACACTATAATGGAGAATTTGCACAAATATCATTATACACTTTAACAGATGCCTGTATATTGAGAAGATGTTAACTATTGATCTGTTGCTTTTTCAAATACACACACACACACACACACACACACACAAATACAGGTTTAAGTCAGACAGCATTCAAAGTACTGAAGAGTTGATCAATAAAACCTGCTGAGGGGCTGGGGATGTAGCTCAGGGGTAGAGCATTTGCAAAGCAAATACGGGACCCTGAGCTTGATCACCAGCACAGAAGGAAGGAGGAGAGAAGGCAGGCAGGCAGACGGACTGCTGAAACTTCTGGCTGTGCTAATTCAACATTATTAAATAAGTGACAATGACAAATAGGAAGATGGAAAGAGACCCTCATCGTTATACAGAATACATGTATGATGTTGTGAGGAGAAAAAAAAGAAGTGTGTCACATTAGATTGGGTAGAGAGATGGGAGGGGAGGGGAGGGGAGGGGAAGGGGGATAGGAAGGGCAGCAGAATAAAATAGACATTATTATGGCTGTATGTATATAGGTGACTGTATGACCAATGTGATTCTGCAACCTGTACAATCAGAAAAATGAGAAATTATACCCCATTTGATTCTAAGGTATGAATTGTCAAGATCATTGTACTGTCATGTATAACTAATAAAAATAAATAAATAAATAAATAATTTTTTAAAAAAAGATTTATAAAAACATCTCCATAAGCCCTCTAAGACATCTCCATTCTATTGTTCCCTTGCATTATAAAATGTATCAACTGACTTTATGTGTAAAATTTTCCAGGCAATAAAGACTAATTAAAAGTGATAGCAGTCATACTTCCTAATCTACTCTCCTTTTCCCAAATTTAGATAATTCAAATATCATTTGGTTTCCAAGCCTTGCTCACTGCTGTGAATGAAGGCAGCACACTGCCACAGTCTATAGCCTGGGGTGCTAACATGACATTTCACTCTGCCAGAAATTAATTAGGATGATCTTAATGAGTTTTTTCTCAACAGCAGTTTCAGAAATTGTAAATTAATACCTAATGGGGGGTTGTTTAGATCTTTACACCCTTTTTCTGTAAAGAATAACTCCAAAATCGGTCACAAATGTGTTTTCATTACTCAGTTAAATGTGTTTGGATATATATTGGGCTAGTGGTTCCTCAATTGAATTATCTCTGAAGCACTACATATTTAAGTATTAATTGATTATAACTCTGCCATTTTCTCTGATGATCAGATTAGGGCTCTTACTGCTCTGTGTATCATTATTTATTTTGGCAAACTGGATTGGTTAAAGTATCAGCTACAAGTACAGTTAATATGGAATTACAACAGCCAGACCTTGCAGGAAGAAACCATCTCATCTCCATGTTCATTTAATATTTCACCCCTTGCTTAAGAAGCTGGCAACAGTTAAGTTAAAAATAAAAAATAAATAAACCAAATAGAAAAGATCTCCTGAGGCATCCAGTTCAGTACATATCTATAAGGCTTCTCTAAGTTATAGAATCCATTTTGTTCCCTTAGCTGTCATACTATCTCATTAGTAGCCTAAAAAAGACAACTTTCAATATTAAAATATCCCAGCTCCTTGACTTTTAAACATATCTATAACAAATGTGAATAAACAAAACATGACCAGAAAGTGGTTGGGCTCTATAGCAAGGATTCATCCAGTGCCACCTCCCTGGGTGCATATTTTCTTATAGAAACATAATCCTCCCTCCCCAGGACTCACTGACACTCATTTTACCAAAGATCTTGTCCATGGACGCCTCGGAGGGCAGCGTGCAGTTGAATATGGAGAAGTGCCTCTTGAGTCTCTGGGGTATATCATTGCGTCCACCCCCAGGATGGATCATGGCTGCCAAGAACTGGACGTCTGCAATACTGGTAAATTCTCCAGGCTTCTCTAAGTTATAGAATCCATTTTGTTCCATTAGCTGCCGTACTATCTCATTAGTAACCTAAAAAAGACAACTTTCAATATTAAAATGTCTCAGCTCCTTGACTTTTTCCAAAGGATGGAGTTTACTGAAACTCAGGAATTGCATGTTGAAAAGGAAGAAAAACACTTCTTCATCCAAGAATAAAGAATAGTGCTGAATTAAAGAAACAAAATGCACAATAGGATCCATATACCTGATCTCCCCACTCATTGATTATTGGCATATTCACATCATCGATGAAAATAGTCATCTTCTTTCCCGCAGGAGGGCCATACGTGGTACCCATGCGTTTGTCCACATAGCTCTCTATGGTCCTCTGTCAACAAGAAAGCCACCAGAAGTGTCTGTGAGAGTCTCCCTGAGACGTGGCCAATTATCAAAACCTGACGACCTTTGAAATGTCAGAAATTACTTAGAAAAAGTCAAAATCTCCCCGTTAATATTGGCAAACAAGTCTTAAAGTATCTACATTATTTGGCATAATGTTCACAACCTTTGGAAACCTGGTTTAAAGAGTAAATAAATACTAACCAATATAAATTTTGAATAAGATTCTTCTATCCACTTATTTATTTTTTTATTTTTCAATAGATCTTGATTTTATTTATTTATATGCAGTGCTGAGAAGAAAACCCAGTGCCTCTCACCCATGTGGGGCAAGTTCGCTACCACTGAGCTACAACCTCAACTGTCTTCTTTCCATTTATAAGGATTTATTTTTCTCTTACTATACCTATGTTAATGACATGTAACCCCCATTACTCAAAGGCCACAGTCCTGCAAAAAGTTTCCCCATAATTAGAGATCCTGTTAAACAGAAGTGCACAGCCTGTCGTGGCCAGAAGCCTGCTCTCTTCACTGAGAAGGAAGCCAATTGGCTTCTGCATGCAGCCAGAAATGACACAGATCCACTGCTTTGGGACAGAGGCAATGACATTGTATCACTTCTCATGCCCCAGCCCAACATGGAGCACAAAGCCCTCTCCCTGCTAATCTAAGATAAGGTGGTAGAAAGGAGAGGTGCACTGTGCTCTGTAAGAAGCAATGTGGGAAAGAATTAAAACCGATTGAAAGGGACATTTGAAGGGGTAACTAGTTTGTAGGAGAAGAGCCTCAGACTTTTATATTTTCACTTCCATGGTACTACAACATAGTTTGGAAATCAATCAGAATATATTAACTGAGTAATCAAGAGTCCAGCACAGAAAAGAGAACAGAAAGGACATCAAAGTTCTCAGACTCTAGAAGCTGAAAATCTTAAAACCCTCATGTCATTCTTACCACTGTGAAATCTATTCATGCATTTTTAATGTTCTTTTAAATATTTTTTTATTGTCAATGGCTTTTATTTTATTTATTTATGTGTGTGTGCTGAGGATCGAACCCAGTGCCTCAACATGCTAGGCAAGTGCTCTATCACTGAGCCACAACCCCAGTCCTCATGCATGGTTTTAAATCAGGTTAGAGATGATATAGAAATAGAGGAGGAAGCAGTGGTATATTGAGATAAAGTGAATTTTTCCACTCCTATCCAAAAGTTCTATTTCATGATAAAGAATAAACCAGTTAAAAATGAATTATAACAAGATACGATCACAAAATTCACCAAGATATAAGCAAATCCCTATATATCTATCTTTGGGAATCTTCACAGTAATAACAAATTGTAAGCTTCCACCATTATTTTAATGAATAATAGCAAAAGCTGTGAACATTTTTCATCATTTTTAATAGAAAGATATGTAAATATATCACAACTCATTCAATTACAAAACAAATCTCCCATGAAATAGCACAATAGCAAAAAAGAATTTCATATTCCCCTGACATAGAAACACACTGTTTAATGTACTCAGCTAAATTTAGCTCTGTTTTTCAATGAATTTAAATGCATAAGGCAATTAATAATCTCCTGACAACCTCCTATGGCAAACCAGAGCCTTCCAGGCATTTCCATGTCTATTAATGAGGACTCTCTGGCATGTGAAGATTTTGTCTTGCGGGTGCCCCCTGTGAGCTAAAAAGCCACAGGTGCAATAATTAGGAAAATACAGAGTAATACCCTCATATTGGCACACTTTCTTCCCCTTTGTTATGATCCTAATTCCTTTGAAATGACAGGAAATGATTAGTAAAATGTACACACACACACACACACACACACACACACTTACACACACACACACACACATAGGATATCTCTTTGTATATAAAGAGAAAACCTAACAATGGGGCTGGGGTTTTGGCTCAGTGGTAGAGCACTTGCCTAGCATGTGCAAGGCCCTGGGTTCAGTTCTGAGTACCACATAATAATAAATAAAGAAAATCAAGGTATTGTGTCCAATTACAAATAAAAAATAAAAAATTTAAAAGAGAGAGAGAAAAACCTAACAAAAATAAAAGCAAGAGAAAAATGGAGTAGCTTGTGGGACTAGAAGTTGCAGCTTCTTTCTGTGTGGGGAATTGCTGTCCATTCTGTGGTTACCTAATGAACTCTGAGGTCTGGTGAGACCTCCTGAAGGCCTGGAACACAATGATTACGTGTTCTAATGGAGGTGTTCAGAATATCGTATGGTTGGACTAGTAGCTCCAAATGGACTTCCCAACTTGGCTGTACCATCGAATGACAAAAATCAGCACCTCCAAATGTGAACTCCTCTTGCCCACCACATCTGCACCTCCTGGTTGCTCAGCACAGGTTGGCACCAACCGCCCAGGTGTCCAGTCCAAACATTCCACATCTAACATTGCTAAGTTCTTTCTAGTATGACGTTGATGTTGGTTTTCAAAGTATCTCCTTCTGTCCAAACTTTTTTCAATTATGTGTCTTTCTCACAGAAAGCCTCTTAAAATTGTCATCCCTATTACCAGCTATAGATGATACGTCCTGCTAAGTTAGACAAGATATCTATATCATGCAACTTATAATGTATCTAGAATTTTCTGCCTCCTCCCCAAATAAATCATTGTTATGATTTGAAAATGGGTAGTATTTCCCAACACTCCATATGTCAAATGCTTGGCTCACAGTGACACTGTGGGGATGTGCTGTGGAAGCTTAAGGGGTGGAGCCTAGTGGGAGGCCCATATGCCATAGTCACTGGGCCCTTGGAGAGAATTTGGGGACCTTGGTTTCTCAGTCTCTATCTACTTGCTAAGTCATGATGTAAGCAGTCTGTTTCCTCATGTACCATAACCAAAAACCCAAAGCATGGGGCTACCCAATCTTGGACTGGAACCTCCAGAACCACCAATTTAAAATAATAATAATAATAATTTCATTTCCTCAGGTATTTCATTATAATGACACAGACTAATACAATCCATCTAAATAATTACTGAGGACCTTTATAGTATTCTACCACCCACCTTCTTCCCAGTCTCTTGGATGCATTGTTTTGGCAGTATGAACCAATAGGCAGTTAACAAAACCAAGTAAGTACATTTGTTTATTTGGTTACTATTTGTCTATCTTACTCTCTTACAGCCGCAGGGACTAGAGGTGTCTGGTACTAGGTGCATATCATAAATATTTGATCCATAGTAAATAAACACAAGGAGCCCAGAGTCCTCTTAGACTTTTCTTTCTTTCCTGGCTTCTCCTCCAACAACATCCACTCAACCAACCACGAGTCCCATCTGTTCCACTTCCTAACTCAAAGCAATAGCAGCTGTGTTCTATTTGTGCTCCCTCTTCTACTATGTTGGTCCAGCCCAACCTCCCTCTTGAGGAATTACTGCAATGGATTCCTCTCAGTTCTGAGTGCTGCCATCTCCCTGCCAACTTGTTCTCCACTCTGCAGCCAGAACAAACTTCCTAAAGGGCAATGGAACCCTCCTGGGGTTCCCCATTCTTGACTCTGAAGGAACACCAGATGCCAGTCAGTGGCTTACCTCTCCAGTCTTGTTTCTAGGGAGTCCTTCCTCATCTCTTGGTACTGGTCCCTCTAGGTCTTAATTGATTTCTACTCGGTTAAAAATAAAACGCACGCCATGAAATGGTGCTCACCTCCTATGCTGGTTTACAGTGTTCATTCTGGGAACCTCACTATGCACGCCTACAGTAGCCATTTCTCAACCAGAAAAACCTCTTAGGATGAGCATCAGCCAAACACACTTTGTGAAATATTGTTGTAGATGAACGTACTTCCCCATCACTTCCTTCAACCCAGCTTTTGGTATTTTAAAAATTGAAATTTATAACAGAAGACTGGGCTATGGTCAATCTATGCTTCCGTGAACCTGAAGAAGCATGGCCAGCACAGCATCACCTCATGCAACCTAGAGACTAAACGAGGTTCTGCTCTCCTTGTCTATCTCCACATACACGGGGTACCAACACCAGCCCTAGCTGGGATGGTGGCATTTTAAGAAGTAAAAACTAATCAGTTAAAAAGCCAAGTAGCTTTACGAATGGAAGTGAGGAAAGTTCCCATCTTTTGCTCAAAGCTAGGAGTTCAAAACCTAGAACCAATTCAGTTTTCTGAATTAATTTCTTAATAGACAATTCAGTCTTTATAATTCTTAAAAATTCATAAAACTCCCATAAAACAATGACCAGCTCTTTCATTGGCCTCATTTCTATGATCCTCTAAAGAAATAAATACCCTTCTCCTCTGGGCTTTGTGGTCCTCAGAAGAGGAGGCACATGGCCCATCAGTTAAGCTTGCACGTGAGTCTATTCCCCTAACCAGACACTGGGAAAAGCACAGCCCTGTGAGGCGTGTGGGCAGAGCCTCTCACAGTTGAAGAGACTGTGCTCTGCCCAGGCTCCTGGACTCACCACTCACACACTGTCTCCAAGCAGGGCACAGCACAATACCTGCACAACCCGGTGGCCTTTCCTAGCAGCTCTGCCTGGGTTTAAAATTGGGAAATCAAAAGGTTAAACTGCTTCTCCCTCTTATTAGCTTTATGATTTCATGTTTCATGATATTTCTGAATCAGAGCCCAGAATTAACAGTGCATATAAAGCCATGTAAATCATACAGACATGTACAGGTACATACAACAGAGCATTATACAGAAATGATGCATGAGAAAGGTCTTGGTGAGCTTGATACATTATAAAAAAAAAAAATAAAGGCATTTTATTATTGCTATGTGAAACTCTATATACAAGCACCTAAGTCATTTTTCATAAATATTATATACAATTAAAGTGAAATATAAAGCATACTTAATTTTAGGTTTCCATATATGTACTATTAGCTAAAGGATAAAAATGGAGAAATTCTGCTCTTTATTTAAGAATCTACTACCTAAATAATAATTTCTGGTTTTATTGTAACTCACTGAAACCAAATGAAAACCACCTTATGTTAGTAAAGTTTAAAATGCTCAATAGTGATTTTGAAATGTAAGATCTGACTTAAAAAAAATAAAATAGGAATATCATAATGCATGGCCAGAAGCTTAAAATAAGTACATTAAGTGGCAAGACAGCCTTTTGGAGATTAACATGGATAGAGAACAGCCCCTGGGAGCAGGCCCCGGGGAAAGCACAGCAGAGCAAATGGGGACCTGGTTTTTGGCTTTGTTTCCACCAGCCAGTGACTGAATTCAGAGAGTACCTGACTCTCCCTGCCACAGTGCATTAATAGGAACAGTAAACACTGACGTTTTAAGAGAGCTTTACCATGAAAAATACTTTCACATATTATCTGTTAGGATTCTCCTCTGCAATCTAGTCTTCAAATTGTGCTCTGAAGAGCCAAAAGGATTCCTATAACCACAGGGACCCCTGCAGGAAGCAAAGATATTGAAAGGGGCTTTAGGAGCCCAGTACCAGTGTCACCAAAGCAAATCCATGGTTACCTGCTTATAGATTAATATTTTTGCATAAAATATCCTTTGAAAGAATGGTTCTAATTCCAGAGGGAAAAAAACCTGGAATTTTCTTCCAGGCTCTATGAGTCTCATTTTTAAAAACTCAAAATGTATGGCTATGCAACCATTTGTAAGCTGGTTGTTGTATTCAAGATGTTAGGTTAGTTTTCAGAAGACACCAATCTTCTCAGAAATTCTCTTGAGTAAGTATCACTTTCTTTATTTTACTTTTCTGTGTTGTTTAAATTTCTAAAAGTACATATGACTTACTTTCAAAAAATAGAAAACAAATAATTAAAACAATATTAGTTTTGCAAAATAAAGTGTCATCTCTCTGTCTCTCTTTTAAAAATTAAAAATAAAAATAAATTAATTTAGGCAAAAGGGAATTCAGGGTGACTATAGTTTGTTGTTTTTCTTTGTTTTGTATTTTGGGTTTTTGTTTTGTTTTGTTTTGTTTTTTTGTCCTAACAAGACACTTTTAATAATGACAGAGAATGCTATTATTAATCTGAGACAGTGGAAGTAAATTGAACAAAGAGGCACACGTGGCTCTCCCATGGAAAATAGATGTGAAAATGACACTGTGGTAAAAACAGAGTGAAAACAACCTGGCAAGTGACACACAGGGGTCCTTGCTTGGGCAGTTGCCATGGTGACCGAGGAGGGACCATAGTAATCTGTTTTCCCATCTACAGTTTCCATCTGGTTGAGCTCCAGATAAGTGGGAGACAGAGACAAATTCTCTACGCCATCAGCCCTGTTTAGTATGAATGACTGAAAATTATAGAGAGAAAGTTAATTACAGCAGTTTGGCTAATTGAAAGCTTTCTAAAACTAATGAGTCTCGCTTAATAGAGAGCTTGAAGCTCAGCAGTCAGAATGGGCTCAGGCACTGCACAGCAGATGAGATGATTCTGAGCAGGAAAAGAAAGAGTGGTGCTACTGCTCCACAGAACACCCAGGACCGGAGGGACAGGGTTTGCATGGCTGAGGTGCTAAGGAACCTAATGAGATGGGTTCTGTTTCCAAAGCCTGCTTTACTATCCCTCTGATCACACCTAGAAATTTACTGTATGGTTTATTAACTTGTATGCCAAATAATAAAGATGTTCTCTGGATAACGTGGCATTTTCTAGGAAATTAATACCTCAGAGACACAGACCACGAATCTTCCCTACTTTACAGTGGTCAAACACCAGAGTTGGCACAAAAACACAGTGAGTAGGGCCTCATCCTATAGTAAAGACTTCAGCTGTTCTGGCTCCTGGGAGAGAATCTTCAAACCTTGGAGAGAACCTTGGAATTTGCTGAATCATAGGAACATCTTTGTTCTTCAAACAAATTCCTCACACGGTGGGAAAAAACTATGTAAGCCCTCAAATTTTGAGCTGGATAGACCAACCATGGGATTACAAGGTTGGGATCTGAACTGGGAGGGAAGGGGACTTGAAGTTTGAACTCAATCATGGGGCCAATTATTCAATCAAGCATGCCCCCCCGTAATGAGACCCCAATAAAAACTCAGGACACGGAAGTTCTAGTGAACTTCTTTGGTGATTGATGATATACGTGATATGCCCAGAAGGTAATGCATCCTGAGGACAAGGAAGGCTTGCATTGGAGACCTTCCTAAACTTTTCCTTATAAACCTTTTCCTTTGGCTCTATTGATATTTATCCTTTATATTTAACAAAAAAAAAACTGTAAGAATAGTGCTTTCCTAAGTTCTGTAAGTCATGCTAGTAAATTATCAAAACTGAAGGTTTCATGGGAAACCAAACAAGTAGATACTTGGGCAGAAGTCTGGGTGGCCTGGGAGCCCCTGAGCTTGTGGCTGGTGTCTGCAGTAGAGCCGTCTTGGGAGAGACTATGCCCTTAACCCCTGAGGTCTGCACTAACTCTGGATAGTTGCTATCAAATTTATTTTGTAGGCTTAAAGATTTACTACAGTCTCAGAAGTGTTAATAGCTAGATAATTACATTACATGAAGAAAAAGATCACATTTTGATTTTTTAAAACTTCATCCTTAAATGAGGTTATAATCATAGCCTTTAAACAGAGTATTGTCCTAAAGTAAAGCTAACAAAAGTCCTTTAAATGTAAAGCGGTATCAATAAAATATGTACACGGTAGCACCTTGCCAGCCTAGGATAATTTAATGTGCTGCTCCCCAGACACAACAATACCCCTGCCAAGTCTATAACTCAGAGTTGACCTTTCAAACAGACCTTCCCACTGAGACTCTGTATAAATGGTATTCATTTGATAGAAGGCTAGCCAGGACTGGAAACTCCCATCTCCAGCAGAAGAGTATGATGAAGTTGACAGTCTAATTTAGAAATTTAATCAATGGTCTCAGTGTATTGGCACTCTGCTGTCACCAATTGAATGAAGTGATGGAAAGTCATGATTTAGCCGTGCCCTTAACAATCTTCATTGCTCTGATATTTTCATTGCAGTAACTAAAGAACAACAAAGTTCATCAAAAGCAAGTTTGGATTCCCCTAAATATTCCCTTTCTATGTGCAATTTGCGAAGCCTGTCTTTGTGATAACATATTAATATTCTTACAAAAATATGTGTGATAGTTTGTAAATGATTAAAGCATAAGCTGATTTTTAAGAACTTCCTCCCTAGTTTCAATAAAATCTTATACAATTTTAGACCAGGATAAAAATTTTTTAAAAAAAGTCAGACAAACCCACGTCAGTCCTAGCAGTTTCTGTCACTCTTATGATGATATGATATGATATGATATATGATATGATGTATAATATTTCATCTGCTGAAATTCTAAAATACCTTGTGGGAATTGACTATGGAAACCATGGTAGGATGTTAAGTCAGGTAATAACAAAACAAAAGTATCAATTTAGGAAACAGAGTTTGGGAGAATGGAAGAGAATTAGACTTGAACCAAAACAACTCAGGATTCCTCCATGCTGATGCCCTGGGGTGGATTGTGGAGAGTTAGATTTTGTAGAGGAGAACAGGGAACATGAAGAAAAATGAAGAACTGTGTAAAGCATTTCTTCAGGTAAACTTACAGCCTTGGATTCAAGAAAGATTCATCAAAGATATCTATGATTCTAAAGGCTAGAAAAATAGTAATAAACCTAGAAAAGCAGATTCTAGAGAGAGGAAGTAGATTTATGTGGGAGAATAAATGACATATTCTTCGTTTGGGGATTTTTCATTTTCACAGGCTTTTCTACATTGGTATTATAAACAGTATTGAGGACTATGTCAAATTATATAAACTCTATTTCTCCACAATGTAAGATTAGATATTACAATTTAGCTAGAGAATAGTTTCATTGCAATGAATAATAGAGATGATGGAAGACATACATAAGGGAGATATATGGCGATGAAAATTCAGATGAGGTTCAGTGGGCACAGGCAGAAGAACAGATCTGAGCCTCCAAAACTCATTACAGATGTAATACAAGAGAGCCAGTACCTGAAACATCAGTGGAGTGGTGGCAGAAGAAAAGTTCAGACTCTTGATCATGTGACTTTCAGGATCATATTTTGACATAAATCCTTTGATTATGACAGTCTTGGCTGTTCCTTGTTCACCAATTAATAGTACAGCCTACAACAAAAGGAGCCGAGAAAGAAGTAAAAGGAAATAAAAGGATGATTATGGGTTGAATTGAGTCCCCTACCCTGATCCTCAAAATTCACATGTAGAAGCCTTCATCTCCTATGTCCCAGAATATGACCATATCTGGAGATAGAGACTCTCAAGAGGTGTCTCAGATAACATGGCAAAATGAGGGTGTTAGGGTGGCTTACTCGAACCCAATGAGTGTCCTCACAACAAGAGGCCATGTGGACACCTAAAGCTGTGGGCACATGCACACAGAAAGTCATGGGAATACACAGAGAGAGTGCCATCTGCAAGCCAAGGAGGGAGGTCTCTGAGAAACCAATCCTGCCAACACCTTGATCCCACACTTCCAGTCTCCAGAAAAGTGAGAAAAACTGCTATTGTCTAAGACGCCCAGGCCTTGCTGTTTTGTTACAGCAACCTCAAGGTCAACAATCAAAAAGGAAGGATTTCTCTTTGGAAAAAAAAAATAAGTCGAAATTCACTTTCTCTCAACTAATACATGAGAAATAATCATGAATGAGGACTATTTAATTCTAATATTGTCCTGGGAAATAATAAAAGGTGTTCACTCATTTATACAATATTTTCGTTTATTCTAAACAGTAAAAGAAATTATAATCAAAAATAATAATCAAAAAAGAGACAGAGAGACAAGATGCAGAGGCATGGAAGGTGGCAGAGTGGCCCTCTGTCCAAGTTTATTTATGCCAATAGGTTACATTAGGTCATTAGTACCATAACCACATTGTCGTTTAGAGTATCATTAAGGTTACTTATTCTGCAGTTACATCTCACAGTTACAGTATGCAATGTCAGGAGCTTTGTGCAGTTCTCAAGAAGGTCCATTGTCTGAAGTTACTGTTAGGTAGGCAATTCCAGGAGCACCAGAGCTTGGTGAAACATTGTAGTTATCAAGCAAGCAAGTTCCTTTATTCCCAGGAGTTATGTGCCTAAGATTAAGGTCCAAGCTGATAAGACTCTAGCATGGGAGGGCATTCCCATGACTTGGCACAGAAACTTTCCGGGCACAAAGCATGTCACGGCCATGAAGTCATCAGGACCCCAATCCCAAACACAGAACCCCTACAAGAAACCATTCTAAAAGTAAATTCAGGCCAGGCGTGGTAGCACATGCCTATAATCCCAGCGGTTGGGAGACTGAGGCAGGAGGATCTCGAGTTCAAAGCCAGCCTCAGCAATGGCAAGGTGCTAAGCAATTCAGTGAGACACTGTCCCTAAATAAAATACAAAGTAGGGCAGGGATGCAGCTCAGTGGTTGAGTGCCCCTGAGTTCAGTTCTCAGGCACCAAAAAAATAAATAAATAAATAGATGCAGTATGTTTTAAGTTTTCAAGGGATCTTTTAAAAAATATGCTATTTTCATGAAAAATAATTATGAACTAGGGCTATTTTTTTAAAACAAAAGTTTAAAAGCCATACCTTGCCCTGTTTAGCAATGGTTTTAATTAGAAAGTCAGTCCTCACATTGTCAACATTTGGCACCAGGATGGAGCTGTACTCTGGGGTAGTATCAGATGGATACACATATTCCTGGGTACGTGTGTTCCAGTGCATCCAGGTACCTGAGATGAACAGAGAATGGTCACATTTTTCTGATAGTAATTTAACTCCTACCTGAAATTAGCAGACACCCTTGAACTCTCAGGAGGACATCTTCCAAATACTCCCCATAAGATAAAGATCATTAAGATTAGAGATATCATCATACAAGTATGAGTTAGCTTGGTCAAAACTCCCATGGAATTATACCAAAGTGGCCATGTTAGCAACTATCTTAAAATCCTCTTTTACAAAATATATAGGTTTTCAAGAATACTGTATGTAGAAATACAGAACAGAGAGTGCATGTGCCTGAAATCATTAATCATTTAAAAATGTCAGGTCTCACCAGCTTTTATGCTATGTATATACACGCATATAAAAGACATAATTATATAAAAATATGTACTTCATCTATACATATACACATGTATAAATAATCTAAAAACATATATAAATATGAACACCCATACTGAGTAAGAAACGTTCTTCAGCCTTTGTGATTTTGACGTCAATTGCTGATTATGCTGAGTGAGTGGTTGAAATGGATCTGCTTGGGAGATCTTTGCAATTTTCCTTATTAAAAGTTCAGGGCGGAAATGCGCATTTAGAACACTAAGCAAACCTTTTTTAAGAGAAACAATAATGCGCTTTCTTTGCACATGAGCCTTTCCATCTTTACTGCGGAGGGTTCCATTCCTGCTTTTAAAATATTTGGCCTGCTGCTCTTGATAAGCTGGAGCTCACCATCGGGCGCCACGTAGTGGTCGAACATGCCGTCGCCGGGGCCCTCGGGCGGCAGGGGCAGCGCGGGCGGCCGGGCGCGCAGCCAGAGCTCCAGCCTGCGGCGCGCGTGCGGCTCCAGCGCGGCTCCCACGCTCCACATGAGCGCGAACACGAACAGCCGGCCCAGGTGCTCGGGGCTCAGCTCCCCGCCCTGCTCCTGGGGAGGCAAGAAGCACGCGGGTACTGGGTCACTCGGTTGCTCAAACCAAAACTTGGCTCAGTGAAAACAGTGCACCTGGAAAGGGTCAGTGTTCCTTCCCCGCCAGACAACAAGGGGGGGATGATTACTGCCGGCGGCGACTAATGAGGTTCTTTTTTGTAGGACCCGGTTTTTTTTTTTTTTTGTTGTTGCTTGTTTGGTTGGTGTCTGTTGTTGTTGTTTGTTTTTTAATAAATTAGGGATATTTTACTAGATGACTTTTATCAACCAGCAGCAAAATTGTGAATCCATGGCTTGCTTTTTGTGGGGAGTGGGGAGGTGGAGACGAGATGAGATGAGGAGAGAAGAAGAGAAGAGACAAAGTAGGCAGGCGGGGGATCCACATTTCAAACAGCCCCCCCACCCCCACACACACTCTAACCAAATCTACTCAGATATCATGTTCTCTACACAGTGCGGCTCAGCCAGTAGGAAAGAAATGCTCCCCAAAGTGGAGCAGCGCACCTTGGGAGGGATCAGGCCCTGCAGCATGTCCACGCTCTGCCTGATCACGAAGGCCTCCAGCAGCTCCATCTTGTACTCCAGGTTCTGAACGCTGAAGCGGTACAGCTCTGGGAAAGACTCCGTGTACAGCTGGCGCAGCACTTGAGCTTCTTGAGGCGGGCGTTGCTTAAGAAATCCCTGTGAGTTCACAAATTAGTACATGAATTCGATCTATTAGCAACCGGAGAATGACCACGTGGGGACAAATGTCAATAATAATAATCATAATAATAGCAATTATATTAGCAATAATAATATCCAATGGCCATACTGCACTTAGGATGTGCCAGGTCTTGCTATAAACCCTACCACGTATTAATTCATTTAATCTTCGATGCAACTCTGTGAGGTAGGAGCTATTATTATGTCCCTCTTATAGAAGAGGAAAAAAACCCAGGAAGATCCAGTAATAGCTCAGCATCCCACAGTTGGTAGGTGGCCAGGCCAGAACTCAAACCCAGAGTGTGCATCCACACCACCAGCACTACACTACACAACAGCCCAGGCCTTGAGGCTAAGCTGGAGAAACAGCCTTCAACTGATTCAAAAACATGCTAGCAGCAGATGAGGAGGCAGGTATCTTCATGGAAATAACTCAGAAGGGAAAGGAAATTTAAAAAAAAAAAATGAGCAAAGGAAATTCACCCACATTTTTAAATGCAAAGCAAAAATTTGCCACAATTCCTCATTTCTTTTAATTTTTTCAAGTTTAATCAATGAACAATACAGAAAAATACTGAAGTATATTCAAGAAAGTGGAAAAATTCAGTTATTTGGGGAACCCCATGCTAAGAAAGTACATGTCATTCATAAAACATCACTTGACAAGTAGCATTTTGTTAAGATGAGGCAAGTTCTCTTCAGTCAAGAGAACAGCTCAATGCTCCAAGAAACAACAGAGGTCTCTGAACAGAAGCAATAAAATGCCCATTCTGAATTATTCATTAATTCATGAATTTACCATGATTCCACCTCAACCAAAATATAACACTTTCTAGTTGATGGAACAAAAAACAGACATTCACTAGGACAGGTAACCAGCCTGTCTCCCTGCAGCTGAGGAGACCCTGCGGCATGGTCTGCCTGCTGGTAACTCTCTCTGAGCCGGCCTGCACGGCTGTTAAGATTTTCAGCGTATTGCTGGTGAATCGCATTTCTTCCTGATCATGTCCAAGAGAAAAATTGCCTTCTTTAAAAGCATAGAAAAATATTATTGGGTAGATATACCATCAATGTAAAGGTCTTAATCAGCCTCAATCTGTAGGGCCTATAATTGGAACTTATTTTATAGCAGCAAACTCTAAATATTTATTACCTAGTACTTTAAGAATATGTTTCAAAAAAAAAAACCCTTGTGAAATTGAAGTATTTGAGAAAAAGCACATAAATACTTTTTCACTCAGAGTTTACGACTACTAGAAATAATTAAAAAAAAAAAAACGGAAGAAAGATAGAAAGATCTATTTTGCTTTTAGAAACAAGAAGCCCTGGGTCGTCTTCTCCAGCACTCTAATTTGGTAGAATGGGGATGTGACCCAATCATCTCTATTTTAAAAATCTGTCATTATTAATTACTTTTGCAAAGCTGGAGTCAAGAACCCCTGCTCTTTAGTTTCTTCCATGGACAGGTAATTTAATTGTAAAGTATGAAATCTCTTGGAGTATCCTTAGTGACACAGTCAACCATGTCAACACCACTTTGCCATACACTGCACTCCTTCACATCTTAATACTCTCCAAATCTAAACCCCTTTCGATACAAAGTTGTATAACCTTAGGAAAGACATTAATAAAATAAATAAATAATATTAAATATTAAAAATAAATAATAAATATAAAAATGGAAGTACAAAAATATAGCAGCAATATAAAATAAATATCTCCTTTCATCTTCAAATATGTGTGTGTGTAAATGAAAACAATAAACTAGACCAAATACATCAAAAATGACTTGCTGCATGGTTTATCTAATAAAAACCTTGCCTTACATTATAGGATTAACTTAATAAAATATCTAATTATACCAAGCATTTTATTATTAATCTAATCCTAATTGGTATATTCTAGAGTAGACTGGTGATAATAAAATGATATACCTAATCATGAAATGAAGAGAGATTATCTAAAATATCATTTCCAAATATAAACTTAAAATTAATGTTATAACTACTGAATCTCATTAAAATTCTTTATATGCAATTTTAACAAATTGTCTTCAAGTTAGTATTCTAAGATGGTTGTTCCCAAACTTTATGTGAATGAGTACCTTTTAAAAATTTCATGAATCCTTGAATGAAGTCAAATTAAATTTTACTTATTCAGTGCTCAGACAGAGTTTGGCAGGATTATTGATTCACTGTAGGCCTGGCAATTACCTGGAAATCACAGTTCTAAAGTGATTAGGAGAGCACTAAGGAGCCTGAGAGGGGCAATCAGAGCTTGAATGTCACAGTGTATTCAAGGGTCTTCCATCAACATTAGCATAAAAAGGCAATTACGCTGCCAGCTGCAGGAAAATCTGCACACACACACACACATTCAAAGAATGCTAAAGGGTCTGTTTTCCTTTGTAATTATACAAAAGAAGGAGTCAATCATACCTCAAGAATGGGACTCCAATCAAGGATAGAAGAACTCATGAAAACCATTCCATTTCTTGAGACAGTAGCCGGAGAAGCATTGTCAATGTTATGAGGTTCAAAAATGATCTTGCAATTTGGAGCCATAGGAATCCGATCGCCATTGGCAAGGGTTAGGGTTTTATTATCATCCAAAACGGAATTCAGATTTTCAATCCAGATGGCGTCGACTGGACCATCAAGAACTATCCAGATATGCTCTCCTAGAATTCCCCACGGGGGAAAGCATACACACACGTGTGCATATATACATAGCTACAGAGCTGGCAGAAGGACTGCAATCTTAAATAATTTTATCACTTTTAAATAAAGCTTTGATCCCAAATGATTATTTTAACAATTTTAGCTATTGGACTTCTACAGTTTTTTTTATATAGCAATTACATAAGGTCCATAATCAAATTTTAAAAATCATTCATTCATTGGACACATACTCATTAAGCACCTTCCTTGGGTCTGCACCATCCTAGGGCCTGGGGATACTGAGGCAAATAAAACAACATCCTGCCTTCAAAGAGCTTTGAACTAAGGGTAGAAAAGACTGTCAAGCAAATAAGTAGAAGAAAAAATATATAAGAAAAATTAATCAGGTAAAGGGAGTGGGGGTACCATTTTAGATAAGACAGTCAATGGAAGATTCCAGAAGGAGAATAAAGAATAGAAAGGTCTCGGGATAGAATTTTCCAGACAGTGGAACTAGAAAGTGTGAAGACCCTGAGCAGGAATAAGTTTAAGGTAATGCAAAGGACTGAATAGTTTCTGTCCCCTCAAAATTCATATTTCAAAACCCCAACTCTCAAGGCGATGGTCTTAGAATGTACAACTTTGAGAGATGATTTGACCGAAACAGAGGAGGCCTCAGCCATGGGGTTGGTGTCCTTGTAAAAGAGAGGGAACCCTTGCTCCTTCTGCCACTTGAGAACAAAAGAGTTAGCAGTCTGCAACCTAGAAGAAAGCCCCCCGGGGGTCCAGCCTTGCAGGTACCCTGATATCAGACTCCCAGCCTCCAAAACTGAGAAATGAACCTCTGTTGGTGATAAACCACCCATTCTGTGGTATTGTGTTATTGCAGTCCAGAGGGATGAAAACAAGTGAATATATACCAAGCAGTACGATGCTGAATGGGACTGGCAAGAAGAGGAGAAAAGGAAGAAGTATATGAGTGCTCTGGGAAAGACAGGTGGGGCAAGACAGGCAGAGGCATGGAATAATTTCTAGTATGCACAGGTTAATGTCCAGAGCCCAGCAGAACTGCTGAGTTGGGTCATGGCTAAGGTTAAAATGTGGAAGCCATCAGCTTAGAGGTGGCAATTTATAATGATGGGACTAGGTAAATTTCTTCTAACTGCAAAGTGTAGAGAGAGACCAGAGGTCTGAAGGCAGAGGCAAGGCAACATTTAGATTCCTGGTGGGGGTCTCCTTTGCTAGGCCCTCCATCACCTGTCCACAAAGCAGAAGTGAGAGGAGAGCCAGTTGGATGGGGGATGCCAAGGCCAAGTGAGTTAAGGCTGAAATGTTCTATTTCAAATACAATGCTTTGAGAATGCTGATCAAGGTCACTGGACTAGCAAGGGCGGAAAACCATGGGGATCTAATCACAAGTCACTTTGAAAGCAAAAAGCACCTGTTGCCTTTTCAAGAGAGAGAGAAAATCCTCTCCTAGCCCTTCTTTTTGAACTTGCGTCATGAGATTTGCATTGACACTGGAGTCTCAGAACAAATAAAAAAAACAATCTCTAATCTAAGCACGCTTCAGAAGTGGAACATCTTGATTTCTCTTCTGACAACTGATACTAGTTCAATGAGCTGCGTTCCACGTGAGCCCCTCATTGGCTCTGCCTTCAACAGACCCTGTGGTGCAGTGGGTAGCCTCAGGAGGTGAGCCCGGCAGCTGTCCTTCTCCTGTGTTCTTCCTGCTCCTGAGGCTTCCTTCCGTTACTCACTCAGAAGTGAGAAAATGTGGGGAGGAGAATGGACACCACCATCCATCTGAGTTTGCACTCTGAGAACACTGGGTTCAATTTGCAGCGTGCATAAGCCAGCGAGACATTGTTCAGACTGAGCCACTTGCCCTTACTGTCTGTTTAAACAACCCCACACCAGTGTCCATCTTAAACAGAATAATTTTCACGTTCAATATAGACTTCATTTTTCACAGATATGATTTTCTCTCCAAAGAAGCTCATTTTCTCTTGTGATTTTATAGCAGAATCAGTATTTTTAAATTGACTGTACATAACTAAAAGTAACATTTTAAAAATATTCAGTGAAAAGTTAGGATAGAATCACTTTGTTCAATACTATCAAATTTTCCTTAACAGCTTTTTCCATCTATTTTTTTTCTAAGATATCATAGGGATACAGAAGTATTGTTTCAAAAACTAGTCTTTCAAATGGGAGGTTTAAATATATGAATCAATAATTTCATTATTTCAACATTCACAGATATCAAACTGATTTATGACTTCTTAGTCTTGACTAACGTATTATATGGAGGATTCTATTGCTTTAATAATTCTATCCAGCCACCAAGGATTTTATTTAGAAGTGCATGTTAAAAATAATACTTGTAATTCGTCTTCTACCTTTCTTAGCTCTCAGCGTTTTCCTCCAAAGGGTAGAAAATATTCCATCAGTCCAGTCATTTGTGGCCACATCAAGCCGACCAAACATCTGGGGGGCGGTAATTGCTTTGGGATTCATCCTCATTTCCCGGTGTGGTTTTCCACAATCTATAGCAAGTAAATCCAAATTTTAAACATCTCAGATGTGCAATGAACCGTCATTAAGCAACATAGCACTAATTTGTGGTGTAGCGTCAGCAAGTGCTCAAAATATGAAAAATGCAAAATTACATGGAAAAGATATGTCATGTGCATCCCAAGCTATCGTAATTAGCCTCATTGTACTTTGTTGACTAAAGCACATTTTTATCTCTGTAAAGAAAACTGCATATTGCTTAAGGGATTGAAAGGGTACCATTCGGGAATTATGAAGGTGCTACTATAATCTAGACCTTCTCTAAATTTCACAGCTCAGGGTATCTTCAGTTTGTGGCATATTAGATTAAATCTTGTGACTGAAATATCAGCTAGAAAATGCCTCCACCTCTCCGTTATCAGCTTGAGTTTTCTGATACCTTTTCTTGCTTATCTTGGAAAAGATAAAATAAATGAATTTTGTATGAATCGAGGACTTTTGTGGCCATCTTCAAGAAATGCATTTGAAGCTTTCAGATCCTCAAAGTACTTTTAAATGGGCTGGAAGTTTGCACATAAGGGACTGGAGTTAATGAGTAGAAGAGTGAAGAAAATCATTTAAAGTATAAAATCATAAAAATAGATGCTGAAATATTCTATAATTGTGTGAAGATCAGATAATACAACCATACCTAGATATGCACATGAGAAAAGATATTACATTAAATCCCACTGTGATGGTTAATTTCTTTAGGTCACTTTGACTGACCCCAGTGGGCCTAGATTAAACATTTTTTCTGGGTCAATCTATGAACAAATGGTACCCTTTTAATCCCTTAACCCATATGCAGTTCTGGATAGGAATAGCATTTGAATCTGTGGCTCGGTAGATCTTCCTCCTGCATACGTGTGGTTATCATCCCATCTGTTGAGGGCCCCCATAAAGCAAAATACAGAGGAGAGAGGGAGTCTCCCCTTTTTCTTCTTGCCTGAGCCTTTGAGCTAAGACAGTTCATCTCATCTTCTCCAGCCCTCAGAGTAAGATATGAGTCATTAGTTCCCCGTGTTCTCTGGGACCAGTTTACATCTCCAGCTTTCCCTGGCCTCTAGTGTGTAATGGCAGATAGGAGGACTTCTTGGTGTCCTTCAGCACATGAGTCAATTACTCATTAGAAATCTATACACACATGTGTGTGTGTGTGT